ACAATCGGGAAAAGGTCCTTGAGGCGAAGCTTTCCGCAGCCTTCCGGACACGTGGTGTCAGTGGGAGGCGGGTCGACCTTCTTGGGCGCGTCAGGAGTGGCAGAAGGCATCCAATAGGCTCGCATCGTTCTCACTGCCTCCTCCTCAAACGCTGTTGTTTTCACGGAATTCGCTCCTTGGAAATTCATCCGCCCGCTCCCGCTGCCCGAACCTGCTAACCCCCCTCCTCCTGCTCCTGCTCCAGCAAGTGAGGGTGTTTCGCTCCCAGCAGCGGGAGTAGCAGCAGCAGTGCTGGCAGCAACAATGGCGCCAGCGGAAGCAGTGGCAGGGTCAGCAGCACGGAGGCGTTTCGCGGAGGAAGGGGCAGCAGCGCCACTAGCACCAGCAGCGGCTCCTGCAGCAGCAGCAGCAGAAGCAGCGCCAGAACCATTACCAGCAGTGGGGGGCAGGGCCGCGTGGTTCTGGCGGTCGAAAGCATCGAGCTCTCTTGCTCTCTCCGCTGCTGCTCGCTCGCTCTCCTCGTCCTCCTCCTGCCGCTGCTGCGCCTCCCATGCTGCCCGCTTGCTGCGCGCGAAGTGGGGGGTGGGAGAGGTGGGGAAGAAGAGGGGTGAGAGGGGGAAATGGGGGTCGCTGATGGGGTCCTCCTCGCCTATCCACTAGTGCAGTGCTACTGGTTCTTCAGTACAATCACATGTTGACACAGTTTCGCCGCTTGATGGGGTTTTTCCTTTTCCCGACCACTTTTTCTGCGTGCGGAACCCTAACTGGTGCCGCGGCAAGCAAGCCACTCGCTCCACACACTCACTACTCGATATACAGTCGCACATGCCAATGGTCTCACCGTTTGATGTCCTTCTTCTGCATAAGCAAGCACGTGTACATGCATTCTTTGCACAACACTTACCATTCCACGCCCAACCACTAGCAGCTGTAGATAAGCTCTTTGCAGAACACGTGATCGAGTCCTTGCCGAGCCGCTCCTTCTGTGTACGCTGTGCCCAACCACCAGCAGCTGTAGACAAGCTCTTTGCAGAACACGTGATCGAGTCCTTGCCGAGCCGCTCCTTCTGTGTACGCTGTGCCCAACCACCAGCAGCTGTAGACAAGCTCTTTGCAGAACACGTGATCGAGTCCTTGCCGGGCCGCTCCTTCTGTGTACGCTGTGCCTCTTGCAGGCACAGCGCGCACGCGTCGAACGGCTTGATTGAGTCCTTGCCGCGCCGCTCCTTCTGCGTGCCGAATCCTAGCTTGCGCCGCTCCTCACTCTGAACCCTACCTCTAGGTATACACCTCCTATGTGATATTATCTAAAAAAACGTACCGTTTGATGTCCTTCTTTTGCGTGAGCAAGCACGTGTAAATGCATTCTTTGCAAAAGATATGTCCACTGCGGCAGCTAAGCGGCTCGACGGCCTCTTGCAGGCACAGCGCGCACGCGTCAAAAGGCTTGATCGAGTCTTTGCCGAGCCGCTCCTTCTGCGTCCCGAACCCTAGCTTGCGCCGCTCCTCATACGTAAAGTGAGCGCGGTCGTTGCAGTTGCGCGAGTGCCGCTGCGGCATGGCGGGCTAGACGGGCTGTCGTGAAATAGCCAATCGACTGTCCAGAATTCTCCCAGAAATTGCCGTAGTGTCGGGGTCGCGTCAGAATGGCCGTAATGGACGGCGTGAGCCCAATCGCCGGAATTGACACTGCCGGGAACCAGAGCTCGAAGGTGAGCACTCGGAATTTCCAAGGCAGGGTGAAGAACGTCGACGGCGTTGAGTTGCGATAGGAACCACAGTCAGTAAGTCAGCTATGTCCTAAATCAAGAAAAGATACGCGACGCGACGCGAATCACAGCAAAGTGACCTAATCTCACGTACTGATCGAGGAAATGACGAATCACAGCTGAACAGTATGGTTCTACTGTATAGCGAGAGGCCTAGCTAGGCGGGAACCTCGGGATAGCGAGGTTGGGTGCTGGTTCGGGGCTGTCAAGCCCGAAGGCGTCGCGGGCTACGTTCGGGAGGCGAGGTCGTCTGGCCGAGCCTGGTCTTCGGCGATTTGGGGCTGTACGCGTACAGGGTGATCCAGTTAAAAAATTAGAAAGTTGGTGATATAAACAAAACAAAATGGTGATATAAAATGGATGTATGCAGGACACCCCAAGAGAGCCCACTCCTACCCCGGTCAAGTCCGATATCCTCGATATAGGCATAATGTCCATGGCCCTCACAATGCCTGTCCCATCAAACGCAACTTTCGATTTAGTCACTTGCGTGGTCGTGGTCGCGATGGTAGCTCCCATGGCTCCCGCCAGTAGCACATTTCAGTGCTCACAGTTTCTCACTCCCCAGAATGTTTCACTCGTTTGTAACACAATCAGCTACAGTCACCGTCTCTCACGGCGCGAGACTCAATTCGTAGCGTCCAATCGGCTGCATTCGCAAACCACAACTAATGCTCATAGATTACGCTCTACGTCGCCGCAGAACACGCCTGTTCCATGGACCTGCAAGAATGGCAGTAAAGCAGCTCTTCATAACGCAGGTCTAAGCGGCAGAAGGAAATGTGGCGTCCGCGCCGGTTCGAGACGAAATGACTGGAATATCAACAGGAACGTGGGTGGCAATACATCGTTCAATAACGGGACAGCTCTAAGCGCGGGTATCAACCAGGGAACTATTTCGACGACCGGATGTGATAGTACCGGCGCTGACGGTGCTAGCGCGATGCGCGGGGATGGCACGCGCGTGAATGCCGCCGCGAGCGACGCGAATGGCGGCGCTGAGGCGGCTGACGGTCAGGTGTTCGCCGTGACTGGCGCTACGGGGTACGACTGGAAGAGCAGAGCGTTTCGTGCTGACCTTATATCGCGTACAGTGCTGAGTTTCAAAGAGAGGCTGTCATTCAGGTGCTCACAGCTTGTGGCATTGCTTCTGGGTACATTCTGATGCCAGTTCCCGAATGCAAAGCATCAGCACCCATCTACACCTCTCTTTGCCCATCTACACTCAACAACACCCATCAACCCCCATCTACACCAATCCACATCTCATCTCTACAGATTCCTGGGCTCGCACCTCCTGCAGCAGCTTTTAGCAGCGGGCCACACAGTCAGGTGCCTCTGCAGACAACCCAACAGCCTGCCGCCCCACCCGCAGATTCAGGTAGATTTTAATTCAACTCAGAAGGTCACCTTGAAACACTTTGAAGTTAGACTCAACATTCACCAGGTGCCTCCGCAGGCAACCCAACAGCCTACCTCCCCATCCACACATTCCCTCAACTCATTCCCCTAAATCTCTGGGTGCCTCTCAGACAGCGCAGCACCCCACTGCCCCGCCGATTTCGTCCAAGTCATTATCCACAGCCTGATACAAGCTGGCAAGGCTGTACAGAACGGATTAGGCACTTGGTGAGAATGGGGGAAGACTATAGGTGAACTGCTAATTGGCTTTGGTTCACAGCATTAATTAGTTTGTAGCAAAGTCGGGCCTTGCTGGCTGGAAATGGGTGCAGCACATACAAAGTCGGTCCCTCGATTCACCAGGTGCCTCTGCGTTGCATTGCAGGCACATTCAATTCGGCTAGCGGGTCGTTCGTTACAGTGCAAGCAAGCGGCACAATCTGAAATGTGGCAGAGGCGACTTTTGAGGCGCCTCAAAAGTCATTCCATTCGGTTAGCGGGTCATTACAGTGCAAGCAAGTGGCACAATCTGAAATGTGGCAGAGGCGCGTGGTAGTGGCACAGGGCACGCGTCAAGACGACTCGCATGTCATGTCAGCAGACAGACAGCCCATGCCCGTGCCACTCTGCTGAGTCAACTTAATCCCACTCCGCCACAGTAGCCTGCCGCTCTGCTGGGTTTGATGGCTGATACCATTTAGTGCCGCTCTGCTGGGTTGGAGCGTAGCGTATCACACCTGCTGCATCATCGGGCGAGTCGGTTCCTAAAGAATGATACGACTCACCTGATGCAGCAGGCGTGATACGCTCTAACCCGGCAGAGCGGCACTAAATGGTACCAAACATCCTGGTCTAGGATGGTAACCTCCCTACGTGCTTGAGATCTTGAGTGCGAGGTGCTGTTGCGTCCTCTCATCATATCGCCAGTGCCCTCTCGAATCGCACCACAGTACTGGGGAACTGGGGACCCTGCCGCGCTGGTTTTTGAGAATTCTCGCTGGTTTTTGAGAATTCTCGCTGGTTTTTGAGAATTCTCGCTGGTTTTTGAGAGTTCTCGCTTGTTTTTGAGAGTTCTCGCTGGTTTTTTAGAATTCTTGCTGGTTTTTAGAATTCTCGCTGGTTTTTGAGAATTCTCGCTGTTTTTTTTAGAATTCTCGCTGGTTTTTGAGAATTCGCGCTGGTTTTTGAGAGTTCTCGCTGGTTTTTGAGAATTCTCGCTGGTTTTTGAGAATTCTCGCTGGTTTTTTAGAATTCTTGCCGGTTTTTAGAATTTTCGCTGGTTTTTGAGAGTTCTCGCTGGTTTTTGAGAATTCTCGCTGGTTTTCGATAATTCTCGCTGGTTTTTTAGAATTCTTGCTGGTTTTTAGAATTCTCGCTGGTTTTTGAGAATTCTCGCTGGTTTTTGAGAATTCTCGCTGGTTTTTGAGAATTCGCACTGGTTTTTGAGAGTTCTCGCTGGTTTTTGAGAATTCTCGCTGGTTTTTGAGAATTCTCGCTGGTTTTTTAGAATTCTTGCTGGTTTTTAGAATTCTGCTGGTTTTTGAGAATTCTTGCTGGTTTTTGAGAATTCTCGCTGGTTTTTGAGAATTCTCGCTGGTTTTTGAGAATTCTCAAAAAACAGTACTGGGGAACTGGGGACTCTGCCGCGGTGCTGGGTGGGTTAGAGCGTACCACACATGCTGTACAGACATGCTGGGTGGGGACATGCTGTACGAAATGGACCTCTCTCCAAGGCACCTTGGACTTGCACCCACCAACACTGCTGTCCTGTCTCTTCCAACCCCCCCTCCCTCAACTATCTCTCCCCTCCATACCTTGCAATGTACCCCTATGCCTCAGGTGGTCAAAAGAAGGATCTTTCTCAGACCCTTCCTCACTCGATACCCTCCTCCACAGCACCTCGGGTCTCTCCCACACATCATAGCATGCTGCCTTTCTCTCACTCTCTCCCTCCCTCAACCATCTCTGCCCCCCATACCAACCCCTCTTCCTCAGGTGGTGATGAAATCCTCAATCCCCCTTTCAATACCTCTTTCAATGCAGATCTGCTCACTTCCACCAACCCACAATACGTCCTCTTTCCACGTGAACCGAGGTTGTTTTCGAGACGTCTCAAAAACATCCTCAATCCCCCTTTCAATGCACATCTGGTCACTTCCACCAACCCACAATACGTGCTCTTTTCTTTCCCCCGTCTCTCCAACCAAACCTTGCTAACCCAATCCCCATCCCTCAGGTGGTCATCGGATCTCTATCAGACCCCTCCTCGCTCAATTCCCTCCTCCAAGGCACCTCAGGCCTCTTCCACCTGGCAGGAATCGTCATCCACTCACGCGACGCCACATCAGCAGCACCACCACCACCACAACCTCAACCAACCCCCACGCCAACGTCACCCCCTCAACCGAGCTCCACCGCACAGCACCCCTCGCTCGATCAAACCACCGTCGACGGCACGTTAGCCGTGCTCGAAGCGGCTCTTAAAGCCGGGGTAAAGCGGGTGGTCTACGCGTCCACGTCAGGGACCGTCGGTGCTTTTAAAGACTCCCGACAGGTGGCGAGCGATGATTCGCCGTACGCGAGGGAGGTGGTGGGGGGGTGGCCGTATTACCGGGCAAAGATCGAGGCAGAGGAGAGGGCGAGGGGGTATGCGGAGCAGCATGGGTTGGAGCTGGTGTGCATGCGACCAACGCTCATTCTGGGACCAGGTGGGTTGAGAAACCTATGAGGCACAGAGTCACCCCCTTGCTTGCGCACGAATCGAGTGAAGTGAGAAATCTAGGCTTTTGTTTGAGCATCCGTGGCTGCATGTGAGGGAGGTGGTGGGGGGGTGGCTATACCACCGGGCGAAGATTGAGTCAGAGGAGAGGGCGAGGGGGTATGCGGAGCAGTATGGGTTGGAGCTGGTGTGCATGCGACCCACTCTCATTCTGGGGCCAAAATCATATCGGAATAGCAGCACCCACCCACAAAAAACGCCTCAGGAATGGTGAGGCGCCTTAAAATATCACCAACGATCATTCTCGGACCAGGTGGGTAGAAACTTGAAAATACAAGTTTGGGACCAGGTGGGTTCATATTCTGGGAGACACGACACGCAGCACGAGGTTCATATTCTGGGTGGCTATCACCTCGTGCTGCTACGTGTCGTGTCTCTCCCCTGCCATGCACCAACATTCGTGGGAGGGAAATATTTTGCAGCGTATGTTTTTTGAGAATTCGCAAAAAACATATTCTGGGTGGCTATCACCTCGTGCTGCGTGTCGTGTCTCTCCCCTGCCATGCACCAACATTCGTGGGAGGGAAATATTTTGCAGCGTATGTTTTTTGAGAATTCGCAAAAAACATATTCTGGGTGGCTATCACCTCGTGCTGCGTGTCGTGTCTCTCCCCTGCCATGCACCAACATTCGTGGGAGGGAAATATTTTGCAGCGTATGTTTTTTGAGAATTCGCAAAAAACATATTCTGGGTGGCTATCACCTCGTGCTGCGTGTCGTGTCTCTCCCCTGCCATGCACCAACATTCGTGGGAGGGAAATATTTTGCAGCGTATGTTTTTTGAGAATTCGCAAAAAACATATTCTGGGTGGCTATCACCTCGTGCTGCGTGTCGTGTCTCTCCCCTGCCATGCACCAACATTCGTGGGAGGGAAATATTTTGCAGCGTATGTTTTTTGAGAATTCGCAAAAAACATATTCTGGGTGGCTATCACCTCGTGCTGCGTGTCGTGTCTCTCCCCTGCCATGCACCACCCACACACGCACTGACTTTTGAGTTGACTCAAAAGTCACCGCACCACCCACACACGCACCCCATCCGGCTCCAGGGGACTGCCGCCTCAGCTCGTGCCGCACAGTGATGGGCACCATGGTGCCGCACAGGGTGATGGCTGCATGCCTTCCCTTCCCTTTTGTATCCTTTGCGTGTAATAAGCCGTGCACCACACTCCCACACCCTCCACTCCACCAGGCGACTACTGCCTCAGCTCGTGCCACACTATCCTTTCCTATTCCCGACCCCCTTCCCCTGCATCCTTTGTGTATCATCTGCCATGCACTACACTCCCACACCCTCCACTCCACCAGGCGACTACCGCCTCAGCTCGTGCCGCGCAGTGCTGGGCGTCATGGGGCAATGATTGCAAGCGTCCCCCTCCCTGTGTCCCCTTTACATATAATGTGCCATGCACCACACTCGACACCCCATCTTTCCAGGAGACTACCGCCTCAGCTCGTGCCGCACGGTGCTGGACATAATGGAGCGACGCATCCCCTTTGTGCCACGTGGCGGGCTCTCATTCGTCGACGTGCGGGACGTGGTATGTGCCGCTCTTGCTCCATACCAGTGGAGCCATTTCATCCATCCGTGCCCCACACCACCGCATAGCACCGCAATCCCTCCGCACGCCACCACACACCACTGCACCAAACCCCATGTTCCCCACCAGCTGCACCTTTGCTGCACCTCCTGACCTAGTGGGAAAGGCGTGAGAAGAATGTTTGTTCCGCACCTTTTCCACCATGTGGGAAAGCGTGGAGAAAAAAAAAAAGAAAAAGAAAAAGAAAAACACACACACACACACACACACACACACACACACACACACACACACACACACACACACACACACACACACACACACACACACACACACACACCTTTTCCACCCTGTGCATCTGGCTGCAGGCTTCTGCTTTCGTCGCTGCCATGCAATCCGCACCCCCCAACGCAACGTACCTCCTCGGATTCAACAACAGGACTGTGGAGTTGATATGCTATATCTGCCCATGTGCTGATTGTATATGCTCTCGCTACCCACTCTGTCTGTTTCCTGTCTCTTTCATTCCAGGCCTCTGCATTCATCGATGCCATGCAATGCACCACCCCCAATGCCAGGTTCCTCCTCGGAGCCGTCAACATGCCTGTGGAGTGCATTTGCTGTATCCCCTCATGTGTTGATTCAACACCCTCTCCATACTCCTCCCAACCACCTTGTCTCTTCCTTCTCTGTTCCTTGTCTCTTTCCTACCAGGCCTCTGCGTTCATTGCTGCCATGCAATCCGCCGCTCCCAACGCCACATACCTCCTTGGAGCCGTCAACATGACCTTATATGACTACTTCCACATCATTGCACGCTGCGCTGACGTGGCGCCGCCGTTTCTGTTCTTGCCGCCAGATGTCGCATGGATATTGGCCGCCACTGCGTCGAATCTCTTGCCTCTGATTGGCCGGAAGGACCCCTCGCTTGATCCTGTCGTGGTTGAAATGGCGCAGGTCTATTGGTGAGTGGGAGAGTGTGAGAGAGAGATTCAGTGTGAGTGTGAGAGGGGGTGAAATGTGAGAGTGACAGTGAGAGGGAGGGTCTGATTGGCTGGAAAAATTTCTCGCTTCACCCTGTTGTGTTTGAAATGGCGCAGGTTTACTGGTGGCTGAGAGAGTGAGCGAGTGGTTGCGTGTGTGTGTGAGAGAGAGTGTCTAAGTGCTTGTATGTGTGAGTGAGTGAATGTGAGAGTGAAGTTGAGTGCGTTGGTGGGAGTGAGTGTGTGTGTGTGTGTGTGTGTGTGTGTCTGCGAGTGCGTGAGAATACGACTGTGAGAGTGAGTGTGCGAGTGTGATCACTGGAGTGCGAGAGTGAGTGCGCAAATGTGAGTATGAGAGTGCGAGAGTGAGTGAGCATGAGTACACCTCCATCACCTGTCCCCTCCCCTCCCCTCTCCTCCCCTCTCTTCAATATTCCATCAGGTACATTGAATGGAGCAAGGCAGAGAAGGAGCTTGGGTTTGCGCCTCGACCGTATGAGACAACAGTGGCTGACACAGTGGCATGGCTAAGAGTGCACAGGAAAGAGTTGAGGGATTGAGTATAGGAGACAGAGATTGACAGGATCAACCTTTCAAACATCACCTCTCTGCCATACGAGACGACAGTGGCTGACACGGTGGCATGGTTGAGGGTGAGAGAGCACAGGAAAGAGTTGAGGAGTTGAGTATAGGAGACAGAGATTGACAGGATCAACCTTTCAAACATCAACTGTCTGCCATACGAGACGACAGTGGCTGACACGGTGGCATGGCTGAGGGTGAGAGAGCACAGGAGATAGCTGAAGGACTAAGCATAGGGAAGTGAGATAGACATGAGTGAGGTTTGAGTATGCTCACTCAATCCTCACCCCTCACCTCGCCCGTATGAGATTAGAGATACACCTTGAACAGAGGAGGGACTAAGCATAGGGAAGTGAGATACACATGAGTGAGGCATGGATTTGAGAACACCTTGGACAGCAGCTGAGGGACTAATTTTGAAGACACTTTTTGACCATTTGACTGCAGAAGGCGATACTGGCTGACGTAATGTAACATGATGAAAGAACTTTAGAGCGGCAGATATTTCTCAACGTTTAGGAGCAGTTCACTTAGGTTAGGGCAGCAGAGGTGTTTGGCTAAAGCAAGCATCTTTCATGAACCTAATTTGAAAAAACCTAGATGTTTCTTGATGAATTACACAAAAGAGGTGGTAATCCGTGTTAGTGGGTAGCTACATGTGTCATTATTGTGTTCTGCAATTATTGGCGAGACGCAAGTACGGACAGCGCAAGTTCCGCTGTCGCCGCATGATGCGGCGAGAGGTGTAGTTGAGTGTGTGACGCGACGCAACCAACATTGCTCCGCTCAGCAGCTCCACACCTACACACATCTGTTCACCCTATTTCACCCACCTCTGGGAACTCTGGTTTGGATACTGTTCCCGCCAACCTTGCTCCAGTCAGTGCGCGATAAATTTTTGCGCGCCTTCAGGCCCTGTTCGATAGCGAGCGAGGGTGACCCATGCCAGAAATCATTGAGGTGACCTTGTTCCTTGGGCGGGAAACGGTTTCCGACCCCATGCGATGGCACATAATTCCCGCCAGCGCGAACGACCCCCCTGCGATGTCCTCGGTTTCCCGCCCAGCTGCTAAAACATGGCGGGAATTTTAACGGGGTGGTTTGACACCACAGCGCGCAGTAACAGTGACTGTCGCGTAATCATTATAGCCCATCCCTGGTAAAATTTCAGACCATTGCCAATGTTACTTTTCAAATAAGTGGCCCCAATGCCAGACCTATGGGCTATTTAGGGATAGTCGCGCTAAACAAAAGGTATAAACCAGTTGCACCACAAATCCTTTCGACACACCTAACTAATGTTGGAACCGATCTGGAATACTCTACACCATCACCAAAAAGTTGAGGTCCTAGAACCATCCTTTCAAAACTGAGCTCCTGGAAGCCTCAATTCGGTCTCCTAGGAATGTCCCAAATGTGTCCTGGCTCCCGAAATATACTTTCGGGACAGGGTACAGTACTTCCCTAAACTGTTCCCTCCCCAATCTGTCCAAAGTAGGGTCGTGTAGTGCCAGGGTAAAAGGGGAAACCATCCTGAAAACGTTCGGCTCGGCTTCCAAGCCACACTGTTCGCGCCGTCTCTTAGTCCATGCAAATTTCCTGTAGTCCAAAAGGTCGAAAGATCGATTCCGGCCGATGCCGTTTTCCTGAACGTATCAACCCCCCTGCACATTTACATGCCCCTAGCCCATTCTTTGAATAATACACTATACTAATGCATAATCTACGATTTGCGCATTGCACAATTATTTGTCAAATGTTGTAGCCTGTAGTGAGGTTTGTCTTAGGGGGTACAAAAGTTAGGGTTTGTCATATGTACCCCAACCAACATCAATGCAACATCCATTCCTCATCCTGACATGGTATCAGAGCTAGGTTAGGATCCTGTGGGATCCCGTTCCTCCGTTCTCCGTTCGTACCTCCCGAGCCTGATCCTACCTCTCGTTCGTACCAGTTTAGTTGTTACCGCGCCTAGTACCGAGCCTAGCATAATCTCCCCCGTCGCGTCGCGCCTGTTCCCTCCGTCGCGTCGCGCCCGCCTGTTCCCCCCCTGTCCCGTCGCGTCGCCCTGCCCTGTCCCGTCGCCCTGTCCCGTCGCGTCGCCCTGTCCCGTACCGTCGCCCTGTCCCGTCACGTCGCCCTGTCCCGTCCCGTCCCGTCGCCCTGTCCCGTCGCGTCGCCCTGTCCCGTCCCGTCGCGTCGCCCTGTCCCGTCCCGTCCTGTCCCGTCGCCCTGTCCCGTCGCGTCGCCCTACCCCGTCGCGTCGCCCTGCCCTGTCCCGTCGCCCTGCTCCGTCGCGCCGCCCTGCCCCGTCGCGTCGCCCTGTCCCGTCGCGTCGCCCTGCCCCGTCGCGTCGCTCCCGCCCTTTCCCCCGTCGCGTCGCCCTCCCTAGGCCCTAGCCCGTCGCCCTCCCTAGGCCCTGGCCCGTCGCCCTCCCTAGGCTCTGGCCCGTCGCCCTACCCTAGGCCCTGGCCCGTTGCCCTACCCTACGTTTTGGCCCGTCGCCCTAGCCCGCTCTTCCGCTGCGACTGAGTCCTCTTCCCCCCCGGTTGTTACTCGCCTGTTCGTTCGCGTTGGTTCTCACTATGGCGACTCCGCGAGTTCTTCGTTTCGACGCTGACGGTAGACCCCTTGACTTTTCCGTCTGGCTTCTTCGCGCTCGTCGTCTGTTAGAGAGTCAGGTCCAGGGGGGCGAGACCCTCTGGTCACACGCTACTGGTGACCTCCCCGAGCCCCCCGAGCCTACCGCTTTAGGCCCTGCTCCTGACGACGCTGCTACGGCTCGCTTTGCCCGTCAGCGCGCTGACCGGACGGCTTGGACGTCGCGTGACGCTGCGGCCTGCATCGCACTCAGCAGCCTCCTCCCTGAGTCCGAGGAGGTCCACTTTACTCAGGTTCGCACCGCTGCTGCGTACCTCACTGCGATTAAGGCCCGCTACTCTACTCCCGCTACTGTCTCTCTCGGCCGTCTTTTCCTCCCGTTCCTGTTTCCTGATCTTGCCTCGTTTGAGCGCTCTGCTGACTTGATCGCTCACCTCCGCTCGCTCGACGCTAGTTACCGCGCTGCTTGCACTGAGGCACAGCTTGCACTGCTTCCTCCCCCCATGGCGATTACTGTCTATTTCATCGCCACTAGCCTCCCTGACCGCCTTGCCTCCGTTCGTGACGCGCTTCTGCTGAAGCACCCTAGTGAGCTGACTATCGAGGTCCTTGAGTCTGCACTCAAGGACGTCGAGAGCAACCTTCGTTCGGTAGCTGCCGCCTCTGGTACTGTGTCCCCCCCACTCTTCCACGGGTGCACAGTCCCGCAGTTACCCACCTTCACTGCCTCTCTTGCCACTGCCGCTACTGACGCGACTGCGGCTGCTGTTACGACTGCGTCGCGGTCCCGCGGCAGGGGGGGCAAGAAAGGTGGTTCTGGTGGAGGTGGAGGCGGAGGTAGCGGAGGTAGTGGGGGTGCTGTTGCGACTGGGGGTGGTGGGAGTGCAGCGTCTGGAGAGACCCCTCGTGCAGCGGCTGGTGACTCCACTGCACCTGCTGGTGGCGGCGACCCCCGAGCTCGTCAGTCGCCTCCTGTACTGCCGGCCCCGCTAGGTGGAGCAGCGGCATGGTACCAGGCTCAGCGTCAGCAGCACCTTCAGCAGCAGCAGCAGCCCCTTTCCTCCCAGCAGCCTCAGCAGCAGCAGCAGCGTCAGCAGCTGGCTCCGGGGTCGGGGCTGCGTCAGCCCCAGCGCGGTGCTGCTTACCCTCCCTGCCCCTACCAGGTTCAGACAGGTCCTCGTCGGGGCCACCCTTGTGGCCGCTTTCACCCCCCTGGTCAGTGCTTTGCTCAGCTCACTGACACGGTCCGGTTGACCTACGGGGTTGGCGGTCCTGCTCCTGACTGGCTTCCTCTGGTTCAGCGCCACGGCTCCGCTCTGTGGGGCATGTCTGCTGAGCAGTTAGTTGATCTGATTAGTGCTCCTCATGCTATGTATGCTGTTGTTGACTCTAGTGTTTCTGACTCTGTTTACTCTGGTGTTGTTAGCTTAGGTGCTAGTCTTGCTCAGTTGCCTGTTGCTAGTGTAGGTACTTGTGTAGACTCTAGACCAGCGACTACCTCAGAGGACGCTTCGCTGTCGTTCACACTGGACTCTGGAGCCTCCCACTGCTTCTTTCGGGACAGCACGACACTTACACCACTTCCTGCGCCTGTTTCTGTAGCGTTGGCTGATCCCACTACGGGACCAGTCACTGCACGTCACACTACCACTTTACCGTGTCCTGCTGCTCCCTCCGGGTCTCTCACTGGGTTTCACGTCCCCTCGTTCTCCCGAAACTTGGTGGGCGTGCGACCCCTCGTGAGTCAGCACGTGGGTGTGTGGTTTGAGCCTTCTGGAGAGACTGCGGTGTGTGTTGACGGAGACTCTTACCAGCCTCTTGCTACCTTTACTGCTGAGCCGGGCTCGGGTCTCTACACTCTTCACACTGGCCCGCGTGCGCCGCAGCAGCAGCCGCAGCAGCAGCAGCAGCAGCCGCAGCAGCAGCAGCAGCAGCAGCAGCAGCAGCAGCAGCAGCACCAGCGGCCGCACCAGCAGCCCCCCCTACTGCCACTGCCCCCGGTTCCCCCCCCCGTTCGGGTCCCCGCGTCTCACCAGGTTGCTACGTCCCCCCAGGTGTCTGTGTCGTGTCAGGTTCCTACGTCTGTTCCAGTCGCTGCGTCGTGCTCCTGCCGGTCGCTTGCCCACCCCACCGTTCTGTGGCACCACCGGATGGGGCACCCGTCCCTTCCACGTCTGCGCGCTATGTCTAGTCAGCGTCTTGTCCTAGGCCTCCCACGTGTCTTGCCGTCGCTGCCGCCTTCGCCTGCGCCGCCGTGTAGTCCCTGCGTCGAGGGTAGGCTGCGCGCCACCCCTCACTCCTCCTCCCTTCGTCCGGCCACCGAGCCTTTTGAGACGCTTCACTTGGACGTCTGGGGCCCAGCCCCTCGTCTAGGCCCTGAGCGTGAGCGTTACTTTCTGGTGGTAGTTGACGACTTCTCCCGCTACACCACAGTGTTCCCTCTGGCGAAGAAGTCTGAGGTGACTTCTACGCTGATCAGGTGGTTGCTCACCACTGAGGACACTCGTGGTCGTCGTGTCAGCTGTCTCCACTCCGACCGTGGGGGTGAGTTTCGCTCCGGCATTCTCGCTGGATTCTGTCGCGAGCAGGGCATTCGTCAGTCCTGGACGCTTCCAGAGTCCCCACAGCAGAATGGGGTTGCTGAGCGCCGCATAGGCCTGGTCATGGAGATCGCCCGCACCTCCCTGACTCACGCCTGTGCCCCCCCATTTTCTGTGGCCCTACGCGGTCAGGTACGCCGCGCACCAGCTGAACCTCTGGCCACGTGTCTCTCGACCAGAGGTTTCACCGACCAGTCTTTGGACAGGGTCCCCTGATGTTGCGTCGCGGTTTCGTGTCTGGGGGTGCTTGGCTCTTGTTCGCGACACCTCCGCGGACAAGCTCTCGCCTCGTGCCGTCCCCTGTGTCTTCCTTGGTTTCCCTGAGGACTCCTCTGACTTCACCTTTTACCACCCTCCCTCTCACCGGTTCTTTGACTCCCGTGACGTCCGTTTCGAGGAGTCCACTCCATACTACGTCAGGTACCCCAGTCGAGGTCTCCCGGTTCCTCCTCCCCCCCTCTTCCTGACTGCCGTTCCCCCTCCTGCTCCCCCGGTACAGCCTCCCCCCCCTGGTCCAGCCCCGTCAGGTGTGTCCCAGGCTACCCCTCCTCCTTCGGTAGCCCCTCCGGTAGAGCCTCCCTCCCCACAGTCCTCCTCGCAGCGTGCCGCTGGTGCTAGCTCTCGAGAGGTTGGTGCGGCGCCTGTTCCTGTACCGGTTTCTGGTTCTGGGGGTGCTGGAGTTGGAGCTGGAGTTGGAGCTGGAGTTGGCACTGGAGTTTCTGGTTCTGGGGGTGCTGGAGTTGGAGCTGGGGTTGGAGCTGGAGTTTCTGGTTCTGGAGTTGGAGCTGACTCGGTGGGTGCAGAGGACTCTTGTCGTCCGGGAGCTGGTGCTGGCCGCGCGGACACTGGGGGTGCTGCGTCTGGGGGTGAGGGTGCGCCTCCTTCGGGTTCAGGTGAGCCTGGTTCTGGAGCTGGTGTTAGTGCTGCCTCTGGGGGTGGTGCGCCTAGTTCTTCTGAGGTGGACTCTGGAGCTGCCGCTGCTTCGGACACTACTCCACCCCCCCACCCCTACCCGACTAGGCACCAGGCTCGTGTTCGCCGTGCCCGTGACGAGCAGTTGGCGTTGAAGAGAGAGGAGAGGGAGTTACAGCGGCTGGAGGAGCAGCAGCAGCAGCTGGAGCCGCAGGAGCAGCAGCAGCAGCAGCAGCTGGACCCGCAGGAGCAGCAGTCCCAGCAGCAGCCGCGTCCGCAGCAGCAGCAGTCGCAGCCGCAGCAGCAGCAGCCACTTCCTCCTCCTGTCTCGGGTCTTCGGATCCTTGGTCTCCCCTCCCCTTCTCCTCCCTCCTCCGCCTCTCCTCCTGTCTACGGTCCCACGTTTCCTCCTCCTGACTCCTCCCCCGCTGTTTTCCCCAGTTCTCCGCCTTTGTCCTCTCCTCCTCCGTCTCGTTCTTGGGCTACTCGTCGCTCCCCTCGTGCTCGTCCCTCGTCTCCTGTTCCCTTCACTGACCTTCGTACTGCCTTCCTTCTTTCTAGTCCACCTCGTCCGTCTCAGTCTGTGCTTCCGTCTCCTCCTGAGTCGGCCCTCACTGTGTCGCTCCCTACTCCTGTCACTGACTACTACCGCACGTACCGTCCTGTTCTCTCTCGTGTTCTTGCCTCTCTTGTTACTCACCCTCGTGCCTCTGTGTCCTCTGTGTCCGCTCTTACTGCCGCAGTTACTGACTTTGCCTCTACCCGCCGCCTTGACAACGCCACCACGCTTGTGGCTGCTCCTCCTACCAGTCCTCTGGCCGTCGGGGGTGTGTCTGCCCTTGGCTGTGACGCCCTAGAGGACAGGCAGTTTGAGCTAGAGTTCCTGGCGGCCGCTTCCCCTCATCTCTGTGCCATGCTCCTCGCCCCTGAGGGTGACCCCGACGCCCTTGACATTCCGACTCCTCGCACTTACGCTGAGGCAGTGTCAGGGCCTTGGGCCTCTCAGTGGAGAGCTGCCATGGACGCAGAGATGGCCTCCTACAGATCCACAGGCACCTACGTCGATGAGGTTCCCCCCCCTGGGGCGAACGTAGTCGACGGCATGTGGATCTACAGGGTGAAGCGGCCACCGGGATCTCCCCCGGTCTTCAAGGCGCGCTACGTGGCTAGAGGTTTCAGTCAGCGCGAGGGAGTTGACTTCTTTCAGACCTTCGCACCTACCTCGAAGATGACCACTCTTCGGGTGTTACTACACGTAGCAGCACAGAGAGACTACGAGTTACACTCTCTCGACTTCTCCACTGCTTTCCTTTAGGGCAGCCTACACGAGGAGGTCTGGTTGCGTCGTCCCTCGGCCTTCACTGGCACCTTCCCTCCTGGGACCCAGTGGAGGCTGAGGCGACCTGTTTACGGTCTTCGCCAGGCCCCTCGTGAGTGGCACGACACTCTGCGTTCTACCCTCTCTGACCTTGGGTTCCAGCCGTCTTCTGCCGACCCGTCGCTGTTCGTTCGTCGTGGCTCCACACCGTTCTTTGTTCTGGTCTACGTCGACGACCTCGTTTTCGCCACTTCGGACAGGGTTGCTTTGGCAGACGTGAAGTCCGAACTGCAGAAGAGACACACGTGCACTGATCTTGGTGAGCTGCGCCACTACCTTGGCCTGCAGATCACCAGGGACAGAGCCGCTCGCACCATTACACTCTCACAGTCACACATGGTGCAGCAGGTCCTTCAGCGGTTCGGGCTTCAGCACTCCACCGTACAGCGCACACCTCTAGCTGTTGACCACAGACTCACTGGTCCCTTTCCTGACGAGCCGTTTGAGCCTAGTGGTCCCTACGCAGAGCTTGTGGGTTGCCTTATGTACCTGATGACTTGTACTCGCCCGGACCTCGCCTTCCCTCTCAGCATCCTTGCGCGCTTTGTTGCGCCAGGGAGACACCGTCCTGTTCACTGGACGGCAGCTGTGAGGGTGGCGAAGTACCTAGCGACTACATCAGGCGTGGGGCTAGTTCTTGGAGGGCAGCAGTCTGTCGTACTCACTGGTCACTGTGACTCCTCTTACGCTGACGACGCTGAGACTCACAGGTCTACTCAGGGGTACTGTTTCAGTCTGGGTTCTGGAGCTGTTTCCTGGCGTTCCACGCGCTCCTCTTCTGTCTCGACCTCTACAGCTGAGGCTGAGATTTACGCTGGTGCCATGGCGGCACAGGAGTTACGGTGGTTGACCTTCTTGCTCGCCGACCTTGGTGAGCGGCCGAGCTCTGCACCGACCTTGTTTAATGACAACAAGGCGTCGATCCTCCTCTGTCGTGAGCCGCGACTGGAGAGCAGAGTGAAGCACATTCACGTCAGGTACTTTCTTCTGCGAGAGTTGCAGAGGCGTGGACAGGCTCGCTTCGAGTTTGTAGAGTCCGAGGCCAACACTGCAGACATCTTCACCAAGGCGCTTCCGCCTTGTGACCACCAGAGGTGTTATGTGCAGTTAGGCCTTGTTGACACAGGTTCTAGTCATGCGTAGACTTGAGTTTATTGCCTGCTTCGTCTGTACACTTACTATATATACTTGTGATCTCTTGGACTGGCCTTGTGGCCACTGTTGCTTGTGCTCAGAGTGTGTGGTGACGTTGTGATCCACCCTGAGCTTTGTTTTCTTTTGGACTGGTCTTGTGACCGTACTCTTTTTTGTTTTTGCTAGACACCCCTCACTTCGGCTATGGGGGTGTGTCAAATGTTGTAGCCTGTAGTGAGGTTTGTCTTAGGGGGTACAGAAGTTAGGGTTTGTCATATGTACCCCAACCAACATCAATGCAACATCCATTCCTCATTCTGACATTATTTGGCATAACCCGGCATATGGCTGTCCAGAATGCGAGCACTGGGTTTACGGAAACCATAGAGGTCCAGAAAAACAAGGTCGCAAAGATTACCTTTCCTTACCACTGCACCAGCTGTATTTCCACCATTCTACCGCCCACACCTTTGCAAATACGTGCAAGTTTTAACAATCACCCCATATGTCGGAAGAGGAACCGATTTACCAACAACATGTCATCATGCGTGAAAGAGGGTACGATGTGCGCAAGGGCTAGGATGCTATCCACCTCGATCACCGAATACTCATCCTCCCCTGTCGTAGGCACAAGGCGCAAGCACCCGGTCACGGGACACGGTGGCGAGACCTCATCGTAGTATTTCACAAAAGCCCGCTGCACTTTCGCACCGTCGGGCCCTGTGAACTGGAACAGAATTAGGAGCTTGCCGTACCACTCAGCCCCGCCCCCTTGGATGCGGATGTTGCTGAACTTGCGTTCATCAGGGGCAGCCTTCACCAACTGCCCGTGGTCTCTGGTGTCCATCCGCGTGTGCGGTGGAATCGCAACGGCCGAGTGCACCTATGTGTGGACAAGTAACGCAATGGTGGGGGAAAAAAATAGGCTCAGGGATGGCACCACTGCAGTGTCACAAGGCCTCGGAAACGCCACGCCACGTGCTCTGACGGTGGTGGGAGGGGTTCTGAGACAGATGGATACATGCTTATAGAAGGAGTTCATTGTGTTCTGAACGCTTAAGTTCGTCCAGCCTGCATGGATTTGGGTACCGGCACCATCATGTTTAGGTGGGGTACCTCACACCCTGCGTAATCCAAAGGAGTACTGCCCTTGCACACCATCCAGCCCGGCATCTTGGCCTGTGGGTGATGACAGATGGGACAGATGCATGGAGGAGGATGAGCGTTGGGGGGGGGAACGGAGGGGGGGGGGGGGGGGGGGGGGGGGGTTGTCACCACGTGAATACGGGTTACGTGTTATGCACTGTAAGTTACCTGATTCTACCACGAGGTCAACGGTCAGTATTAACAGTCGAAATGCGGTGAGATAAGGTGGCTGGCGTGTTGGCTAGTGGGCTCATGATAGTGGGTGCTGGACGTACTCCTTGCATTTCCTCCTTGTGGCGTACGATGAGTTAATGCTCACCTGCAGGGTCGACACCACGATCCCCGCCCGAACCAGCTCCCCCGAGAACCTCCGCATCACATCTTCACCCAGCGCAAGCTTGTAGGAAGTCCATGCGCTGTCGTGTGGTTCCCCGACAGTCATGGTTCTGCTCGTCTTGGTGAGCACCCGCTGATGTCGCTCTATGGCCTGTACCAATACAGAAATAAGAAATGCATGGAGAAACGGAGGGTTTAGTGAACATAACACTATACCATGGTCTCAAAGGCAGCCCGGCCATGCCTCCCGCACACAAAAGTTATCCAGTCCCATCCCTCCCGCCAACCCCCCCCTCTCCTTTTCCCAGACATACATCCCATACACAAGAATACCCTTGCCCACACACAGGAATCCAAACACACGACACCCCGCGAACCCTCTCCACCCCTTCCTCAACATCCAATCCCGTCCATACTGTGAACCCTACTCTCCACTCTACAAACAGGCCATCCCTTCCCATATCATCCCTCCCGCTCCCCTCCCCTACCCACACACCGGCCTCCACCAACCAACTTCCATTCTCAGACATGCAATCCCATCCCTCATGTCGACCCACCTCTCCCCTCCTTAGACATCCAATCCCGTCCCTCATTACGCCCCACCCCTCGCCTTCTCAGGCATCCCAACCCGTGCCACCCCTTCCCGTCTCGGACATCCCATCCCATCCCTCCCGCTAACCCACCCCTTCCCGTCTCGGACATCCCATCCCATCCCATCCCTCACGCTAACCCTCCCCTCTTCCTCTCGCTCACAAAATCCCATCCCAACCGCTAACCCTCCCGTCCCCCTATCTGACTTCTCAGTCCAGTAACCCACGCAAACCGTCACCTCACCTCTCAACCCTAACGTTCTCGGGCATCCTCTGCACTTCTTGCCTCTTCTCTACCGCGAATCAGCCGCGTGCCTCTCATACGAGAGTAACGCCCTTATCAACCCCTTCCCCTTCACTCCCTGCACTTCAATCCCAACTCTGATCTGCTTATCACTGGCGCCCCATTCTATCACACACTCATGTCAAACACTCGGCACAGTCACGCACACCATCAGGCCCACGTACCATAGTGCTTCACGGGTCACCTTGTTACATGGTTATGGTCTGTATGTTGGAGCCCACCACCCGTACTCACCAGGCGCATGGCGGTCTCGTATGTCTTCCCCCCGCTCTCTTCCTTGGCCATTGCGGTGATCGCCGCCAGGCGCTCATGGCGCACTGCGATATCCCGACCCACGTCGCGCCAGTTGGTGTTCCTAGCGTGGCGTTTCACCATCGTCTTGTGAGACGCCTCACCGAAGTTGGTGGAGTACTCCTTGGGCAGTCCCCGGGTGCGGATCATATCGGGGAGATGCGCAAGGAGGTGCACCTTTATGAGGAGCCAATGTGACTTCTGGTTGGGAAACACCCGCACCAAGGTCCCGATCAACCTGAGGTTTGGCACGTTTGGTGTTTAACTAACAAGCCAACATGGATGGGAGGCTAGCACGGCAAAACAATCGTACTGCGGTTTAAGACTATACCGGTGCGTAAATCAGTGGTCAAGCCTTACTCCTCGGTTCTCGAGATGCTCTGCTCGAGCGACTCCTCTGTATGGAACTCGACCCTGAAGTATGCCCGGTACCACTCGTTGAACATCACCATCGCCGCCCCGACATCCTCACGGCCTGGCAGGTGGACGAGCAACGGCACGATCTGCATCATCGCCCGGTGCTCCCATGCAGCGTAGTGTGCAAGTGTCCGAAAGTAGGTGATGATATTGGGAAGTCGAAGGATACCCCCTGGCGTCTCACCTACAATGACCTTGCAATGCCTGCACATACGCCAAGATGCACATCCTCTAGGCACATGAGCACCACGTAAAGAGAGCAAAACGCACAAGACCTGCCTACTAAGCTAGCGCTAACTCACGTGAGCAAGAGTCGCTTCTCCGTCGGCGTGAGCAGGCCAAGCAGGCAGCGCATCGTATGCACCCACAGACCTTCGTCCACCACGTGGAGAAGGCAGACGCCGATGGCCAGATACAGGTTGCCCCACGTGGTTTTGACATAACCCCAATCCCAAAGGGCACACTGCCATTTCGGGGATGTGTTAGCGACTATGACGACGCGGCATGGTTCACAAGGATTACGTTAACATCCACATGTGCAAGACACTCTAACTCACCGCCACAAAGTGGGTAGACCACGCCTGCTTGAGCTGGTCTCGCTCCTCCGCCGTGCTCCTGGTCATGTCCTCGTGCAGTAGCTACTGGTCTGCAACAGTGCGTGGCGTCAACTTGGCAACCACCTTCGTCAAATCCCATCTGCTTACGGTGCACATGGAGCACGGCTTATTGGACGTGGCCGCCATGGTGCATGTAAGCTTGCTCGATTCCGGGTGGTCACAAGCCCACGTCGCAAGCATGGGTACCACGGTGTACTGCCTGCCCGCGTGATCCACGACCTGCACCCCTCCGCTGTGAATTGAAGTACATCTATTAGGGTTTAGGACTGTTTAGCTACTAAAAACCGCATGGAGATGTACATGATCCTTTACCTCTCCAGCGTTGAAACATCCATGATCGGGTCAAGCACGATGCGCAACATCTTCTGCATCACGGCGGTCTTCTGTTCTGCTGACATGTCCGATGGCAGGCTCGGAAACAACGGGATCATCTCTGAACCCCCCAACAACCACCGAAACACCTCGGGGATGTTTATCAGGGACATTAGCAGTGGATGCGCAAACTAGCGTCCATTGAACGTCAGGTGCGTGGAGTCGCTAAAAAGCAGGATCCCTGCCACTATGGCCATCCCCTTGAGAGCATTCTGCCGCACATTACACCATCGGACAAGGTCATAACCGGGCGATGCATACCTCGGAGAGGGAGATTGGAACGAGGACACCCATAGGAGCATACGTGATAGTTACCGTTGCAAGGTGGAACCAGTCTGTATCCACTGGGCTGGTGTACCGCCGCACTTCGCCATCCTTTGTGGTAACGGGATGCGTAGCAAATCCCTCGACCCCTGACATTTTAGCCCAAATCTTCAGGAGTACTTGCATATGGTAAGTGGAACGTACCGCGCCACTTTAAAAGGACGGATCACATATGTACCATACGTCACAAAGGATCGGTAACCCCATACCTGGATAACGGGCCGGTAGCGGAACGTAACGGTCCCGAAATCACCCTCCAATTCCAGATCGACCGCCTCCCACGCTTCATCCCCGGGCACGAACTCCTTCTCAAACTCCTCCAGATCTCGGTAAGTGTCCCAGAACTCCAGATCAGACATAGCCCATTTCTTGCTCTTAAACAGACGAATGATTTCAGTAATGGCAGTGTTGGGGAGAAAGTACTTACGCATAATGTAAGCAAGTTCGATCCGGACATCGAGCTTGCTTGCCGACTCGTCGGAGCCTGCGACAGAGGGCGCATCTGGCAGTGACTCTGCGTCCACGTCAGCTGCATCAGATCTTACAGACTCGCCGCCTGAGCTAGGACCAGATGAGGAGGCGACACCACCAGGGGTTTCCGCACACGGTGGAGGAGCGTCCACCGTCATTCGCTCTAGCGGACCGTGCCAGTAGTGCCCGTGAACAAACCTTCTCGATCGCCTAGCTGCCTGCTCTCGCAAACAATGGCGAGATGCATTCTGATGCTGGCACATGCGCTGGTTGTTTCGGAAGGTGCGTCCGCACCTTTCGCATTGCTCGCGCGGCATGTCGAATCATGCAGCGCACGGTGGCACGTTTCAGAATGGGTGAGGGGATTCTAACACGCTGGAATCTAGCCAAGGCATGTCTGGATTCTAACACACAGCGTTGTTGAGAGTAGGTACGACGCGGATCATAGCTAATCTGAACGCAAAAGGATCTTCCTGACCCGCGCGGGAACCAACTCGCTGTATAGTATCTCGCTATAACCCAAACTGCTGCTGAGGTGATATAGCTATACAATTCGGTTGAAGTGGGACTACAGAAAGAAATGTGCAGATTTGGCTCGCTTTAGTGTGTAGTACACCGTTGCAGGGTAGCTGGCAGAAGATGTTAAATAAGCGTAAGGGAATTCTGATCCAACAAGCACATCTAAAACAAGCCCCTAAGTTGCAAACCAGAACATGTCCTAAACTCAAGCAAGGTTCGCGACGCATCAACAATGGTGACCCTGCTGTTAATCAAGATACTGGCGCCGACGCTTCACGATGTGGTAAGGCAGCAGCACTTGAGATATGTCTAGCCACTGTCTGAACATGGAGAAATCTTCTGGCCCATCCACACCTGTATATCAACAGAAACGACTGTGAGAACCCATATGGTGGCCCTATATTGGGCCGTGTGCACACGACAATGTCCTACCATCTCTGGGTCCCTGGTTGTTAGGACCAGCAACTTGGCGTGGTGGCTGAAGATCCTGCTGGCGGTGGTCACCTGGGCGATGATGTAGGGCCAGGTGGGTTAGTTTCCTACGTCAACGGTGAGGGCAAGATAGAAGGTACGAAGGGATAAGGGTGAACCGTTCAAGGAGAGTTACCAGTCAAGCGACGTGTGCGCTGCATTGTATCCGTGCGATCCGTGCAACGCACACGCATATGTCGAATAGCGTGTGTAGTGCCGGGTCCGTCATTGTCACCTGCGGCAGGTTACGCTGGACACTCAGACCATACACAGAGAAAATGATTACATTGTAGACATCTGCGTACCGGGGATGTTTTCACTCACTGGCGATGTGGTTGCTAGGGGTCGGAGATGTTATGTTAACAGGCGCCGTGGTATCCTTCTCATCAGGTGACGGCGCAGGTGGCGGCGCGTTCTCTGCACATCAGGGATTGCAGTGACATGAGAGACCGCCATATATATGGTCATCGCATAATGTTGAAGCACTCACGAGCCGGATGTGCCGGTGGCGCATGGTCAGAGGGTACCGGGTAAGGCCTTGAGACCGGGTTATGCGGGTCACGGGCGATGGTAGGGAGTGGTTGACCTGTCCTCTCGGGATGGATCGCCCCGGCATGATTGTCTGCAGTGACACGATCGTTGTTGCCAGTTGGCGCATGACCATCGTGATCAGTGTTCAGTACGTTGTTCCATGCATTATGAGAGTCCTCTTGAGTCTCATCGCCTTCCGCGTCAGCGTGATGTTGTGCATCGGGTCTAGGATCTACTGGGGGCATATCTTCCCCGCTTTCCTCCTGTTCCTGGCCTTCCATCATCAGACTCTCGTGGCTCTTTTTGGGCGATGCCTCACGAGCCCGCGGAGCATATCGGATGCACGAGGGCGGCAAGTCCGCGGCGTCGCGTGCATCAGGATACTCGGAGTCTGGAACAATCTCTATTGGTCCGCGACGTCGCCCAATCCGTCTTGGGCTGTATAGGGCGTTCGTAGCTCGCGACCTAAGATGCTCCGCCATTGGCGGACTGGATGTCAGGCGTTCCAACAGAAGGGTGGCGGAGGGTCCACCGCCCTTTCGAAGTGGTTACCGACGCAAGTGACATCGCCATCGGAGCTGTACTGTTACAGGACTTCGGCGACGGCCTCCAACCCATCGCCTACGAATCACGCAAACTACATCCGCCTGAGCGAAATTACCCGATACACGACCGCGAAATGCTTGCGATCGTGCACGCATTCAAAGTATGGCGCTGCTACTTGACCGGCGCAGACGTGACAGTACGAACAGACCATCGATCTCTACAGTACCTCCGCGCACAGCCCCACCTCAACCCACGACAGATTCGATGGCTCGATTTCCTCGAGTCGAATTTTCACTATACGGTCACATACAAAAAAGGAGCCTCGAATATCGCCGACGCACTGACCCGCCCCACTGCCCAGATCCACGCGATACTACTCGCCCAGACCAGCCTGCTACTGACAGGCCTATTTACCCACGGATATCAAACAGACCCGTTCTTTACAGGAGGCAACTCACAGCAATTCGCAGCGGCAAAAGGAGTCTATTACGTAAAAGCTGGAACCGACCGCATCTGGGTACCAGGATACACGCTACTGCGGGAACTACTGTTACAGGAAGCACACGACGGAGTTACCTCGGGACATTTCGGGGTAGAAAAAACACGGCAGCAGCTGCAGCGGTACTACTACTGGCCAGAAATGTTGACCGATGTGCAACGACACGTGGCATCGTGCCCCACTTGCCAGCTCATGAAGTCAAGCAGGAAGCGGCCGGCGGGACAATTACAACCCATCCCGCCCCCAGAGCGTGCTTGGCAGCAGGTGACGATGGATTTCGTCACGGGGTTACCAGCTGGGGCGAGTGGGAATGACGCGATCCTGGTCGTCGTCGATCGACTAACGAAGATGGCTCATTTCGCAGCCTGCAGGAAATCAATCACAGCCGAGGAAACCGCCCGACTCTTCATCACCACCGTCGTTCGACTGCACGGGATACCCGCATCGATCATCAGCGATAGGGACACGAAATTTACAAGCAACTTCTGGCGGAACCTGTGGCAGCAGTTCGGCACGCGCTTACAGTTCAGTTCATCCTATCACCCCGAAACCGACGGACAGACGGAACGGACAAATCAGACCATGGAGCAGCTGATTCGAGCCACGTGCGACGATCCGAATACGTGGGAACAGCAGCTGCCACTCATCGAGTTCGCATACAATAACGCACCATCAGCCACGACGCAACAGTCGCCGTTTTACTTGAATCACGGACAGGACCCAACAGTACCCATGACACCGAATCCCGACAACCCCGTCCCACGAGCACAACAGTTCGCCGAGATTCTGCAAGCAGCACGGGCCAGGGCAGCAGAAGCGATCAAAAAATCAAACATCATCGCTAAACGCAACGCCGATCGCCATCGCAGACCCATTACTTATCAGCCCGACGACCTCGTTTTACTCGACACTCAGAACCTCCGCCTGCCCATCACTCCAAAACTCCGCCCTCGATACTGTGGGCCATTTCGAATCAGTCACATGGTTACGCCAGTCACCGCGCACCTCCTCCTCCCTGCTGACTGGTACGTCAGCCCCTCGTTCCACGTTAGCTTACTTCGCCCTTACGTGCCATCCACCAGCCAACTCCCACGACATCGACCCACCAGCATGACACGACCACCAACCGAACCAGTCATCAACCCCGACAAGATCCTGAGCCACAGAGTTCGCGACCCTCGAGGAGCCCGAAAAGTGGAGTTTCTGATCCGCTGGAAAGATCGTACCCCCACCGAGGACAATTGGGTTCCCCTGGAGAAAGTTGAAAATCACCCCGTCGTCACCGACTACCTGCGTAGCCGCAATTTCCGAGACATCCACGCGCTTTCATAAGGAGGACCTCCTTAGGAGGGGGGGTAGTGTAAGGTGTGAAGCAAGGAAAACAGGAATGAAATGACTAAGCCAGAGTTGGGTACAAATACAACCCTAGAAAGCTGTACCCCATATGTGCTACCCCACTATAGCCTACAAACATGCATCAGTTAGAATAATCCGACACACCCCCATAGGCAAAGTGCGGGAGAACAAGGGGTCACAAGACCAGTCAAGCAAAGCAAAGCTCAAGGTGGATCACAACGTCACCACACAGTCCGAGCACAAGAGCAGGGCCAGAGGCCAGTTCACATGCAGGAGTACAGACATATATATAAAACTAGACAAGCAAGAGCAGGTATATATATATGTCACAGTACAAGTGAAGTCAAGAGGAGAGCAAGTGAGGCAAGACAGGCACAAGACCCAGCTGGGTGCAAAAGCGCTGATGGTCACAAGGCGCGAGTGCCTTGGTGAACACATCAGCAGTGTTGGCCTCAGAGGCCACGTACGCAAGTCGCAACTGACCACGCTGCTGCAGCTCACGAGCAAGGAAGTAGCGGAGAGCAATGTGCTTCGTTCTGTGCTCCAAGCGCTGCTCTCGACACAAGGCCAGCATGGCCTTGTTGTCTACGTACAGCACTGGAGGAGAACGAGGCGGCTCTCCAAGGTCAGTCAGCAGGTAGGTGAGCCAGCGAAGCTCCTGTGCAGCCATGGCCCCTGCGTAGATCTCAGCCTCACAACTGGAGCCGAGAACCGAAGACGAGCGAGTAGACCGCCACGAGACAGAGCCGGAACCAAGGCTGAAGGTGTAACCCTGTGACGACCGCTGCGTAGCCTGGTCGTCAGCCCAAGAAGCGTCCGCGTGGCCGGTAAGGACCACTTGACTCCGCCCTCCAAGCACTAGCCCCATGCCCGACGTGCTGCACAGGTAGCGCAATACCCTCTTCGCTGCAGCCATGTGCTCCGGTCTGTGTCTCCCAGGAGCAACATAGCGAGCAAGAATGCTCAGAGGGTATGCAAGGTCAGGTCGTGTGCAGGTCATCAGATACATGAGGCAGCCAACAAGCTCTGCATACAGACCACTCGACTCTACGGACTCATCCGAAGGCAGAGCTGAGAGTGAGTGGCGAGTAGGCAGAGGAGTGGCCTGAGGCGAGGAGTACGTGAAGCCGAAGCGCTGAAGGACCTGCTGCACCATGTGTGACTGAGTCAAGGTAATGGTGCAGCGTGCTCTGTCCCGAGTGATCTGCAAGCCAAGGTAGCTGCGCAGTTCACCCAGGTCTGTGCACGTGTGTCTCTTCAGCAGCTCGGACTTCACGTAGGCGAGTCCAGCAGTGTCTGCTATGGCAAAGACCAAGTCGTCGACGTACACGAGGATGTAGAACGGCGGCAGGGAGGTGTCGGTGCGAAGAAACAGCGACGGGTCAGCAGTAGAAGGAGCAAACCCAAGAGCCGCAAGCGTAGTCCTCAGTGTGTCGTGCCACTCACGCGGTGCCTGGCGGAGACCGTAGACTGGCCGTCGGAGGCTCCACTGGGTGCCAGGAGGGAAAGTCCCAGTGAAGCCAGGTGGACGGCGAAGCCAGATCTCCTCGTGCAGGCTACCCTGCAAGAACGCAGTGCTGAAGTCGAGAGAGTGAAGCTCGTAGTCGCGCTGAGCGGCTATGTGCAGCAGCACCCGAAGAGTAGTCATCTTCGGGGTGGGAGAGAAGGTCTGAAAGTAGTCAACTCCCTGCCGCTGACTGAAGCCACGAGCAACGTACCGTGCCTTGAAGACAGGTGGAGAGCCCGGCGGCCGCTTCACCCTGAAGATCCACATGCCACTGACGATGTTCGCCCCAGGAGGGGGAACCGCGTCAACGTAGGTGCCTGTGGACTTCCAGGAAGCCATCTCTGCATCCATAGCTGCCTGCCACTGAGAGGAGTAGGGACCCTCTACGGCCTCCACGTAAGAACGCGGAGTCGGGATGTCTAGTGCATCCGGGTCTCCCTCAGGGGCAAGCAGTACAGACGCGAGATGAGGTGAAGCAGCCGCTAGACACTGTAACTCCTCCTGCCTGTCCTCTAGGACGTCCGTGCCAAGAGCACACTCACACCCGACGGACGGAGGACAGACAGACGCAGACTCAGCAACAAGACTAGCAGCGTAGTCGAGACGACAGCGAGCAGCAAAGTCGACGAGCTCAGCGACTAGAGCAGACGCAGCAGTGGACTCAAAAGAGGGGTCAGTGACGACAGTAGCAAGCAGACGCGTGGCAGTAGGACTGGCAGCACGAAGAGAGTCCGACTCAGGGTCGGCAAGCGCAGGAAGAGAGGACTCAGGAGGAGAAGGCAAAGGGGCACGCAGAGGAGCAGTGGACGGACGCAAAGACATCCGGTGCGTGCCAGGGACAGGAGGAGGACGCTGACGCGAACTGCGACCACTAGCGCGAGCAGCACGAACAGGCGACGCGGGACGAGACGCAGGCTCACGACGCTCAGCAAGACCTCCAGTAGTACCAGTGTAAGGAGAGGGAGCAGGCAGTGGAGAGGAAGGCTCCAGCAGGGACTGCGACTGGACAGGCGGTGGACCCTCTACTGGAGGAGAAAGACCAAGAACCTGCTGCAAGAGCGGAACGAAGTACGGCCGAGGCCGCGCGGCAGCTCCAGACGCAGCAGGGACAGCACTAGCACCCTCAGCGACAGCACCAGCGCCACCCACACCTCCAGCGGCAGGACCAACAGCAGTAGGCTCAGCACCAGCGCCCTCAGCAGCTCCAGCTCCAGGAGGACCCGCAGGTCCAGCAGCTCCGGGACCGGCAGCACCCGCACCCTCGACGGTCGAAGAAGCTCCAGCTCCAGCTCCAGCAGCACCTCCAGACTCAGCAGCACGCCTCCAGCGGCGAGCGAACCACTCGCGCAGCTCCTGTGGAGAGAGGGGCTCCCGGCGAGACGCAGCAGCAGGAGAAACCCGAGGCTCAGCAGCTCCAGACGCAGCACCCCCAGGCTCAGCAGCTCCCAGCTCAGCACCCCCAGGCTCAGCAGCTCCCGACCCAGCACCCCCAGACCCAGCACCTCCAGGCACAGCACCCCCCGGCTCAGCACCCCCAGGCTCCGCACCCTCCGCAGTAGCACCCTCAGGCCCAGCACCCCCAGCAGTAGCACCCCCAAGCTCAGCACCCCCGCGCACAGCACCCCCAGAGTCAGCACCCCCAGGCTCAGCACCCGCAGCAGCACCAGAGTCACCAGTAACCTCGACCGGGTCAACGGCGTCTACCTGGGACACACCTGAGGGGGCAGGAACCTGAGGGGGGAGGGGGTCTACCGGGGGGGGAACCGGCACAAGGAAGTCCGGGGGAGGGGGGAGGGAAGGAGTGCGGTAGGGGAAGAGACGGTAGAAGGGGACTGACTCGTCGAACGTGACGTCCTGGGAGGACAGAACACGACGAGAGGAGGGGTGGTAAAACTGCCACCCTGGGGCGTCAGTGGGGAAGCCAAGGAAGACACAGGGAGCAGCACGAGGGGACAGCTTGTCCGCAGACAAGTCGCGGACAAACGCCCGAGATCCCCAGACACGGAACACAGACGCATCGCCAACCTTCCCCGTCCACAGCAAGGCTGGGGACATCGCAGGCCGAGAGACCCGGGGGTGAAGGTTGAGCTGATGCGCCGCGTACCTCACCGCAAACGGCCACAGAAAATGGGGGGCAGCCGCATGCATCATGGACGTACGAGCGACATCCATGACCATACCAATGCGGCGCTCAGCAATCCCATTTTGCTGTGGTGAGTCCGGAAGCGTGAAGGTCTGGCGGATCCCCCGTGCACGACAGTAGTCCCGCAGAAGGCGAGAAGAGAACTCTCCGCCTCTGTCAGAGTGCAGACGCAGAACAGGAAAGTCCGAGCCGAAGCTCTTCCTGAGCTGGAGACGAGCCTCGCGGATCCAGTCGATCAGCACCTCAGTGACCGCACCCTTGCTGCGCAAGGGGAGGACTGTGGTGTAACGCGAGTAGTCGTCAACCACCAACAGGAAGTAGCGCTCGTAACCCTGCCCACGGACGGGGGCTGGGCCCCACACATCCATGTGAAGCGTCTGCAGGGGAGCCTCTGTCGGGGGGAAGTGGGAGGAGTGAGGAGTAGCCCGGAGGCGACCCTCGACACAGGGGACACAGGAAGGTCCTGGCCCGGAGGGGAGAGGAGGGAGAGACTGGGGAAGACCAGAGACAAGGACACGGGAAGCCATGCTCCGAAGACGGGGCAAGGAGGGGTGGCCAAGACGGTGGTGCCACAGGAGAGTCTCGTGAGACAGGAGGCGACAAGAACAGGGGGCAGACTCAGGACCTGACCGGGACGCAGCAGCAAGCACCTGACCCGACGCAGCCACCTGACCAGACGCAGGGACAGGAGGAGACTCAACGGTCAGGGTGTAGAGACTCGACCCCGGCCGACGCGAGAACGTGGCCAGGTGTCGGCCTGTGCGTGCCTCCGTGCAGTGGGTCACCCGCTGACTCGCAGGAGTGAACTGGTGAACCCCCACATCCTGCAGGTCCGCTCCACTCACCAAGTTCGTAGAGAACGAGGGAAGGTACAGACCCGACAGGGTGCCCGAAGGGGCAGCCGGACACGGGAGGACAGTGGAGAAGTGAGACAGGACAGGACCCCCAGAGGGGTCAGCAAGGGAGACCGCAACCGGCCGGCCGAGCGGCGTAAGGGTAGTGCGGTCTCGAAAGAAGGAGCGAGAAGCTCCGGAGTCAAGTGTGAAAGTGAGGGAGGACGAGGACGACGCAGTACCTGAGAGCGCAGTCTCACCAGTACCTGAGAGCACAGACGCACTGGCACCTAGAGCAGCAGCCTCACAAGCACCTAGCGCAGCAGTACCAATGCCCGGGTCGGGCTGGAAACAACGGTAACCCTCATTCTCCTCACTATAATCCACAACATACATAGCAGCAAGGATAGCATCAAAATCAAGATCAAAGATCGCTACACCAGCCCTGAGAAGCTCATCCTAGCGAGGGATCTCACTAGCCCCAGGGAACTGCTGACGCCAAGCGTCCGTCAGGCGGCCAAAGCAGCGCTGGGTGGCGTGGGCACCCCCACACTGCTCACCCGCGCGGTCGCCGGAACGAAGAACGTAGGTGCAGGGACCAGTACCCCCACCCCTCTGACGCCCAGCGTACCACTCACGAAGCTGCTGAGGCGGAGGGATGTCCCGCGAGCGCTGCTGCTGCTGCCGCTGCGAGCGCTGGCCACCACCACCGCCGCTACGCTGCTGGGTACCACCTCGACCAGCTCCACCTCCTCCACCACCACCGCCTCCTCCGCTGCCGCCTCCACCGCCTCCACCTCCGCCGCCTCCACCACCGCCGCTGCCTCCACCACCACCGCTGGCACCACCACCACCGCCTCCGCCACTGCTGCCACCACCACCACCACCTCCACCACTAGTCCCGCCGCCACCCCCACTCCCTCCGCCGCCACCGCCGCCACCGCCACCGCCCCCTCCAGCTCCACCCGCGCCCTTGCCCCCCTTGCCCTTGCTGGAGCGACGTCTCCCACTAGGGGCAGACGCCGTGCCGACCGACTCAAGACCAAGCAGGTCGGCAGCAGCAGCAGAGGCAACAGAGGGCAGCAAGGGGGAAGGAGAGCACCCCTCAAAGATGGGGGTGCGAGGGTCACCACGAGAAGCACCTACAGCGACTATGCTCTTCTCCGCTGCGAGGAGGGCCTTCTCGAGGAGGTCGACGGTGAGGGTGGTGGGACAGACTGCGAGAAAGTGGTCCCTGACGACGCGAAGGGAGTCAGGGAGGCGCGCGACTACGTAGTAGAGAGCGATGTACATGGGGGGGGGGTTCTTAGCGCAGAACTCAGCAGGAAGGGCGGCGCGGTAGCGAGTGTCACTAGTGCGGAGGTGCGTAATGAGGTCAGCGACAGTGGGAAAGGCAGAGAGGTCAGGAAAGAGGTAGGGAAGCATGAGACGGCTCAGTGCAGCAGTGGCAGGGGAGGAGTAGCGCGCAACTACAGCGTCGTACAAGGTCTGAGCACTCTTGTACTGACTAAAGTGCGCACGCTCAGAGGTAGGGAGGTGGCGACGCACAGCAAGACGTGCAGCAGCATCCCGGGTGGCCCACTTAGAGCGGACAGCGGGATCAGCATCAGCAGCAGGAGCAGGAGAGGCGCCAGAGGTGAGGTCAAAGAGAGAAAGGTCGTCAGCCCTGTCGCACTGTAAGAACAGCTGCAGGTCGTCTAACCAGACCTCAAAATCAATGGCGCGACCCTCAGCGTCAAAAGCTAGGACACTAGGGGTAGCCATGGCGACGACAGCGATGCAGTGCAAGCAGTAGGGAAAGAGCTCGCAGTGTCAGTGGGACTGTGCTCACCAGGCAGGGCAGGTCGTGCAGCAATGCAGAAAGGCGGCTCAGCGACAGGGCGGCTCGGGTGCACAGCGGCTCGGCTCCCGGGCGGCTCGGCGGCTGGGCGGCTCGGGCGCAGGGCGGCTCGGCTCCCGGGCGGCTCGGCGGCTGGGCGGCTCGGGTGCAGGGCGGCTCGGCTCCCGGGCGGCTCGGCGGCAGGGCGGCTCGGGTCCCGGGCGGCTCGGCGTTGGGCGGCTCGGCTCCCGGGCGGTTCGGCTGCTGGGGCGGCTCGGCCGGGAGATGCAGGGGCGGGGCCGTCAGGTGCAGCGGCTGGTCGACCGGTGCAGTGGCGGGCCGGCAGGTGCAGCGGCGGGCCGGCAGGTGCAGCGGCGGGCCGGCAGGTGCAGCGGCGGGCCGGCAGGTGCAGGCGGCGGGCCGTAGGGTGCAGCGGCGGGCCGTAGGGTGCCGCGGCGGGCCGGCAGGTGCAGCGGCGGGGCCGTCAGGTGAAGCGGCGGGCCGCTGGGTGCAGCGGCGGGCCGGCAGGTGCAGCGGCGGGCCGGCAGGAGCAGCGGCGGGCCGGCAGGAGCAGCGGCGGGGCCGTCAGGTGAGGCGGCGGGCCGGCAGGAGCAGCGGCGGGCCGTAGGGTGCAGCGGCGGGGCCGTCAGAGGCGGCGGGCCGCTGGGTGCAGCGGCGGGCCGGCAGGTGCAGCGGCGGGCCGCGGCAGTAGAGGCGGGGCCGCGTCAGGGGAGGCGGCGGGGCCGCGTCAGGGGAGGCGGCGGGGCCGCGTCAGGGGAGGCGGCGGGGCCGCATCAGGGGAGGCGGCGGGGCCGCGTCAAGCAGGCGGCGGGGCCGCGATCAGGAGAGGTGGCGGGGCCGCGTCTGAGGGACAGCGGGGCCGCGAGGGAAAAGGCGACCCGAGGGGTCGCTAAAAAAAAAGGGCGCGCCTCGGGGCGCGCTTCGGTGGGCCCTAAAAAAACGGTCCTAAGGCAGGACCCGCTCTATACCATGTGAAGCAAGGAAAACAGGAATGAAATGACTAAGCCAGAGTTGGGTACAAATACAACCCTAGAAAGCTGTACCCCATATGTGCTACCCCACTATAGCCTACAAACATGCATCAGTTATAATAATCCGACATAAGGAAATTCCCTTTTCCTTACTTCGCGTCCCTGCTCAACGCGTACATCACTGTAGCACCTCAGTCAGCACCGTTACCACTCGCGACCATCGCATCATTCACCATCCCGCCCTTTTCGCACATCGCATCCCGACCTCACGGCTCGGCTGGTAACCCGCGCTCCGGGCCTACGCTTCGACACTTTCCCAACCTCAGTCCCAGGCTCGTCGCATGACCATTACCGTTACCACTATAGCTTCGCTATATAATGTTCGCTCATGCCTTCGCTCAGTTGTATTCTTGCTTCGATAGTGCAATTCTCGTTCGTTCACTCAATTGCACTCGTAACAGTGTGCCGTGGAGGTAAAGTGGGCAGTCGGAGATGATATCGATGTTAAGCGAGCAATGCTTTTCGCAGTCGCGAGACATTTCCTATAGACAAGCCCGTTACAAACAGACATGCTTTCTGCAGCATCTGTAGGAGGTAAAACATTGTTCAAAATCACTAGATATGTCACACACCACATCAGCCAATCATAATCTGAAGCATAAACCTATGAATGAATCTTTCTATATCTAGTTTCATATATGCAGAGTGTTGGGAACAATAAGTCTTAAGGCGCCTCTGTCGTGTCCGAAACTCAGGACACTAGCGAAGCAGTCCAAATCGAAGCATCGCGAGTCAACCCTCGGAGGTTGGCGTAACCGCCTGGAGGTTACGCGAAGGTCAAAGGTCAGCGACCTTTGACTTGACCAATACAGCGCGACAACAAGGACACACAACTGACTCGACATTGAGCAGTTGCCCGAGTCGCACTGTATCGAATCGCAACAGTAAAACGGTTTAAATCTATCTATTCGTATTCCTTGTACTCTTATATAAACCTTGTATTTGCTTGTCTAATCCAACTTACTTTGCTCTCACATACTAGCGCAAGGTGGTTCAACCACTCTGTATTACAACGCTTCCGCTATTACAATCCTACTCAGTCCTTAAACTCTACAAAGATCCTAGGGCTTCTCAGCCCAACATGGTATGAGAGCAATTAGAGTTTAAGATCATTTTCTCTCTCAATACTTAAATACAAAGAAAGAAGACATGTCTGCAAGGAAGGAGAGGAGCTCCTCCAACGGTTCCCCAGGCACTACTCCTACTCCACCTCCTGCCTCTGGCCTACAGACAGAGGAAGGCACCACCGCAAGACCAGCAGCTGGGTCCACGGAAACACCAGCAGGCTTCGATTCAAACATGATGGAGAAATTTTTCTCCTTCATGTCCTTCTACGAGCAACACCAGCAAGGAGTGCCTGCGCAGTCAAACAACAGCAACAACAACAACAATGTTACTCCGATGAGCCTCGACGGCTCATCCTATGCACGCGGGATGCAACAACAACAACAGCAGCCTACCTTTGCGCCGTACGAGCCCCAACGTGGCTCCGTCAGCTTCATGCCGCAACCGCAACCTGCATCGGGACAAGAAAGGACATTGGACGCGTTGCAAGTCCAATCGCAATTCGCGCACGTCCTAAAACTACAAACGACAAAGCCTTTCGACGGCAAAGATTTCTTTACCTGGTCGTTCGAGTTTGAACTGATGATGGAAGGAGCACAGATTCTTGGCTTCTTCGACGGGTCCCTGCCATATCCGACAAACGGGACACAATATGAGAAGCAGCAGTATACATATCAATCGATGATGGCGTACACGATTCTGCTGAGGAACATCACCCCAACCCAGCAGCAGAACATCAGGACTTACCGAGGCTACGGCAACTCCGCGGAGCTCGCGTACAACCACCTGAAGAACCTGTATCAAGCAACAGACAGCGTAAACCAAAGCAGGTTAATGGCGCAGTTGACAACGATTGAAATGAAACCAGGCGAGAAAGGCATGGCTTATATCAGCCGCTGCCGCGAACTGCGCGACAAGCTCCTTCGATGCGGCGGGTCAATTTCAGAAGACGCCTTTGTCACGGTGGTCATCGGTGGTCTCGGCCCCCACTGGCGCTCCACTCGCGCCATATTACGAGCACACGGGAGGATCTCCGAAGCGGCACTCTGCGCCGAAATTCATGCTGAGCAGCAGGACATGGACCTGCAAGAAGAAAGACACAAGAAGAAAGCTTTAGCACCAGAATTTGCTTTTCACACTCAGCGACGACACAACGGCAACAACAATCGACAACAGCAAGTGAAAACGGTACCTCCGTTCTGCCACATCTGCAAAACCTCGGGCCATCCTCGCACGCAGAAGGGTGAGCTAGGGTTTCGACTAATTGCTAGACACATAACAACACCTTCTGGTTCGATCTAGGCCATTATTCCCGTTTCTCTAGATACTGTTGCATAATGAAAGAAGGACATGGTTTCACCATGTAGTAAGCAGGTTGTATCTGAGTGACATGTCAAGAAAAAGCCACATGCACCAAACTAAAGAGTTAATTATAGAACTGACATGCTAAACCCTTTACTTATTTGATATCGTGTTAGCACAACACAAGATTCACAAATACATCAACACTACAACACTGCTCCTCATTCAACTGATCACCACTTTACCTTTACGCCGTAGGTGATCCTCGTAGAAGGCACTCCAGTCAAACAAGTCCTGGAAAATCTCCTTCCGCCAGTCTGCCGATTTGCCAAACAGTTTGATTTCCTCAACGCACTCAAAATTCGACTCAACTAAGGCCTGCATATATTTCATGACGTACACACCACAATCATGATAGTTGCGTTGAAGAGTCACCTGCAATGCGTGAAAAGGAGGATGCGTATGAGGGTGGGAGAAACGGTGATGCTATACGTCGGGGATTAGACACGATCACGTAGTCAAAAGGCGTGTGGTACCTTGGGCTTCACGTACTTCACTCTTGCTATCCAATCGTCGATCAGTGACTCGTCCGCGTCGGGGTAGAGTGAAGTGACTTGCTCCCGTAAGAATCTGCGACAATAGCGCAACACAGGAGCTTGTAGCTTACCCGTATATTTGGTGATACAAATCTGCATGCACCCATATGATCCATTTGATTTACCTGGCCACATGACGTTCAAACCCCTTGTGCATTTTCTTGGAGTCGGCATGTAGAAATCTGGTTGGCTTGGGAAGGGCACCTTCCTTAGGTGCGTTATCGTTGTCTAGAATCAGCAGGCTCCAGTGATCGCTGGAGCGAAACAGAGTAAACCCGGTGTTATCAAACGGCGACGGACGGACGGGCGTAGAAGGGGGGGGGGGGGGGGGGGGGGGGGTGGGGGGGTACGGGGATTTTGGCGTTATGAAAGGAATGGGCAGCGACTATAAAACGCTCTGGCAACGTACTCGAAGTGATTGGGGATGAGAACCCACTTCCATTCGAGCAGGTTCTCCCCATGTACGATGTTCCCGCACGGCCATTTGCGCTTTGGCGCCGAAATGGTGGGGTAGAACATAGTCGACACGTAACACCACGTCTTGTCGTCCATGCCGTGCTGAAACTGCAACATGCTGCCACACAGGAGTCCAGGGTGTGTTTGTTATAGATTAGTATCAGCCTAGGACAACCATAACGTGGGTACTACGAAGCGGGCGTATGGAAGATACTCACGCGCCAAACCATTCGATAACATCGCCCCCTACCCACTCTCTGTCTAGTAGAGTGTGGGCATGTTCCAGTGTCATGGATAACCAGCTGCTCCCAAGGGGGAATGGCATCATATAGTTAAATGACGGGCCATGTTTGGGCTCTTCCTGCTGCTCTTGGTGATCGGACGCCATGTTCCCACGTGTCGCGAGTAATCAGCTTAACCCTAATGCATCCAGAGGGTAGCGGGACTTGAAAAAAGCCAACAGCGCAAATGGTTGGTAAGTTTCTACAGACTCCTCTTGTTGGTTGTGACGAGCCCTTGTTGGCCTAAACGGTGTCACCAATATCGTGTCCAATCTCGGGTCTAACAATGCGTGGCAGTCAACTTGCCAGCTAGGTTGTGAAAGTACACGTGTAAAATTGCTCCCATCCTCTTTCGGACCTACCAGTAAAGGTAGGTCCAAACACTTGAAAGCGATGCCACGGCTTTGGTCACAAGGCTAAGGTTCGTCCGTCCGAACCTGGATTTTGCGGTTTGGAGACCCGGTAACGGTACGGGTTACTCTCGTACGCATATAATGGACGGTTGGCCTCCAAGACAGCATCTGTCATCGGCTTGGATGTTGCGCCGCCTTGCGACTCGTCAAAGTGTTACACAGGGAGGAGTTGTCCCAACCACATAACCGATGCCGGGTCTGTCCCATCCACGGTTGACCGTGGTTAGACAGCACGATAATCTACGGCCGACTAAACAACTGGTTATGATCCCCTCCCTTCATTATCATTTGCTCGAAGTTCTGTTCAGTTCCTTGTGTCTCAAAATCAACTCGATCGCTGTCCATCATCACTCGCCAAACACCTTGCCAGGATATACTATGCAAACATATGCTTAAGTATCCCCAGGGATGTCTACCCCGCACGGTCGACCGTTACGATATAAGAGGGTACCCGACCATCTTAAGGACTTTGTTATTCCGACGGCTAGAGCCAGGCCCATAGACCCTAAGTGGGCCGCGGAGATCTTGGAGGTTAGAGCCCTCGTACTAGCATACCGGGAGAATTACCCGGCGAAGACTGGACACTTGGCGCCACATGACAGTAGACGACTGTACGCAACAGTGGCGGCCGACCGAGAAGCTCCTGTACGATACCCTTACGGTATACCGTTTCACACCGTCCGTGCAGAGCAAACCGCGCATCGTCGTAGCCGCGCCAAGTAGACCCAGGTGGGGGAGCAGGAGGTCATAGCGCAGAACGCAGCGAAAAAAGGTGAGATTTCACGTCGCTGACTTCGTTGCATTTGTGTTAGCGTCACAAGCCCGCCAACGGCTGACCTGCGCTGTATCGATTTAACGTGTTTGTTTGCCAGATATTGACATGGGGGACGTGGAATGCGCAGAGGATAAAAATATTCGGACTGATCCAGCCAAGAGCGGGAACACAGAGGTTGGATGGGCGAGGAGTGAGGATCGAAATCCGGAGTCGTGGTACGAGTTCAACGCCGAGCTGTACACAGTGCCAGTCTGTTCGCCGTGCACAGATGCTGACACGGACGACGAATCTGCACCTGCTGGGAACTCTGAATCTGACGGCAGCGCGTCTGAGGGGGAAGATTGGGTCGCCGCGGATGTCGACTTGGTGACCGATTCAGACACCGAACGCCCTTCCCCCCCTCACGCTTACCTTCCAGGCACTCCAATCTGTAACGAGGCCGTGGTCGACACAAAGGCGAAAAAGCGTCGTGGAGCAAGGAAGTCGGCCAAGAAACACGCAACCGATCCCATGGCGACGGTTAGGCGAATCATACCTCACACTGAACGGGGAAAGGCGACCCGACATAATTACGTGAATATGTACGTGGAGGCGGGGACGCTGGAGACAGGGAGCGACGACGAGTTCATGCCAACCGTGCTCTACAGTGAGCTGCAGTCACCAAGAAACGCGGCAACGCCAGGGGGGTCGACCCTACCGAACGATGGGGCCGATGCGGAGGAGGATGACGAGCCAATCCCTGCTCATATATTGAACAACGACTGGAGCTGGCTAGAGTTCGGCGACGACGGCAGCGAAGACGGGGCTTCGGCGGATGTGGAAGAGGTGCCGCAGAAGGTCAAGGCTAAAACGCCACCTCGAAGCAGTGACCCTGTACCTTTGGCGGCGGGGCCACCAAGGCACAAGGTGGACATCAATCACACGCCCCGGTCAAGCTTTGGGCCTGTAGTGCACGCGCATGATGCCAGCATGCATGAGCATGCTGAGTTGCCAACCCTCCCCCCCTTTCCGCAATTTGCTACCAAAAATGCACCGAGTCATCGCTCGGAAAGTCGACAGGTCAAGCAGGAGTCAATCCCTCACACTCTGCCGTCCCTGCTGAGTAGTTCCATGGCCAGCGGGGCCTTCTGCTCTCCAGGAAGGGCACCTTTCACCTCTCCCTGGTCTGCCCGTGCCAGCTCTTCTCCCTCTCAGGTCCCGGCAAACCATACACCGGCTCGCCGCGAAGAGGCAGCTCCTGCTCGGGGGTCGGGCGTGGCCGGATCTGCCGACGGTGAAGCCCCTGAGGGCGCGCGGGTGGATAGCGGGTCGAACAACGATGCAAGCCGTGTTGCGACACTGGAGGCGGAGCTGCGGGCATTGATGGGGAAAGTAGCCCAGCTCAGCGGGCAAGTCGTTAAGAGGCAAGAGGAGCCGGAGGGTCAAACGGGGCAAAATGTGGAAAAACCCGCTGTGGCCGTTGTCGAGAGTCAGCCGCCCGTTCCGGCCGTCACCAAGCCAGCCGCAACACCCTCCCGGAAACCCCAGGTGGCCGCTACCGTCAGGGCAGACCGTGAAAGCCCTGACAACCCCGCGTCCAAGGGCACTTCAGGTGTGCGGAAGGATAGGCAGCGGCTTTCCGACATGAAGGATGCACCCCACTTACCGCCGAATCCGCTGATGTATGATCCGCTCCTTGAATCCCCAATCACGCAACCGGAAAGCCGTGAGGGCGATGGTGACCGTCCCAGCACACTTGATGCGCGGCCCCTGAAGCGTATGCTATTCTCAAACCCCCTGGAGTCTCTTCTCCGTACCGAGCTCCCACCCAGGCAGGATGACTTGGGGAGTGGTGGGAGCCATGGAATGGGGAGGACCGATGAACCTATCCTCGACAGGCAGGGCAATACCCATGGCAAAAACATGTCCTCTCAGCATTACGAGGAGGGGCCTTGGCGTTTTGGCGGGAAGCGGGGCAGGGGCGACGAAAGCGTTATCATTGTGGTTGACTACGACCCGGAAGAGCGGGTCCCCGGTCTACCGCGCTCAATGCCTAAACCCAAGCCATTCAGGGTGAGTCACCGTCTTCTGCGCATAAACCCCAATAGTGCACATATATGTGAGTTAGGAGAGTAAGGAGTGTATGGCCACTGAACGCTTGCCCGCAAATGAGCCCTTGCTGTATAGTTCCGCCAGTGGTGGTGAGGGAAGCCATTTCTCAATATAAATGCCTTTGATTGTCCCAAACTGTCCCTTGCTTCCTCGTTATGCCTCTTGCTTGCTCGTCCTGACCGTTGATTGCTCGTTCTGCCCCAACCGATGACGGGTCTGCCCCATGCTTGCTCGAGCTGGCCCTTGCGTGATCCGCCTAAACCCGTTGTTTGTCCCAATCTGCCCCTTGAATGCTTGTTCTGCCTCTTTGTTGCTAGTTCTGCATCAAGGTTGCTCGTACTGCCCCTCGCTTGCCCCCCCTGCCCCTCGCCTGCTCATTCTGGCCCTTGCTTACTCGTTATGCCTCTTGCTTGCTCATCCTGACCGTCGGTTGCTCGGTCTGCCGCTTGCTTGCTAGCTCTGCCCCTTGCTTGCTAGTTTTGCCACTTGTCAACCCGTATTCCCCTCGCTTGCCCCCCCTGCCCCTCGCTTGCTCATTCTGCCCCTTGCTTACTCGTTATGCCTCTTGCTTGCTCATCCTGACCGTTGATTGCTCGTTCTGCCGCTTGCTTGCTAGCTCTGCCCCTTGCTTGCTAGTTTTGCCACTTGTCAACCCGTACTGCCCCTCGCTTGCCCCCCCTGCCCCTCGCTTGCTCATTCTGCCCCTTGCTTACTCGTTATGCCTCTTGCTTGCTCATCCTGACCGTTGGTTGCTCGTTCTGCCGCTTGCTTGCTAGCTCTGCCCCTTGCTTGCTAGTTTTGCCACTTGTCAACCTGTACTTCCCCTCGCTTGCCCCCCCTGCCCCTCGCTAGCTCATTCTGCCCCTTGCATACTCGTTATGCCTCTTGCTTGCTCATCCTGACCGTCGGTTGCTCGTTCTGCCGCTTGCTTGCTAGCTCTGCCCCTTGCTTGCTAGTTTTGCCACTCAACCCGTACTTCACCTCGCTTGCTCCCCCTGCCCCTCGGTTGCTCATTCTGCCCCTTGCTTACTTGTTATGCCTCTTGCTTGCTCATCCTGACCGTCGGTTGCTCGTTCTGCCGCTTGCTTGCTAGCTCTGCCCCTTGCTTGCTAGTTCTGCCACTTGTCAGCCCGTTCTGCCCCTCGCTTGCTCGTTCTGCCCCATGCTTGCTCGAGCAGGCCCTTGCGTGATCCGCCTAAACCCGTTGTTTGTCCCAATCTGCCCCAACCCTGCTTGTTCTGCCTCTTTGTTGCTAGTTCTGCATCAAGGTTGCTCGTTCTGCCCCATGTTTGCTAGTTATGCCCCTCGCTTGCTCGCTCTGCCCCTCGCTTGCTCGCTCTGCCCCTCGCTTGCTCATTATGCCCTTTACTTGTTATGCCTCTTGCTTGCTCGTCCTGACAGTTGATTGCGCGTTATGCCCATTGCCTGCTCGCTCTGCCCCTTGCTTGTGCGTTTTGCCACTTGTCAACCTGTTCTGCCCCTTGCTTGCTCGTTCAGCCCCTTTGCTTGCTCAAGCAGGCCCATGCGTCCTCCGCATAACCCTTGGATTGTCTCATTATGCCTCTTGATTGCTTGTTCTGCCCCTTTGTTGCTAGTTCTGCCTCGTGGTTGCTCGTACTGCCCCTTGATTGCTAGTTCTGCCCCATGCTTGCTCGAGCAGGCCGTTGCTTGCTCAAGCAGGCGATTGGTTGATCCGCCTAAACCCTGTGGTTGTCACAATCTGCCCCTTGATTGCTCGTTCAGCCCCTTGCTCGCCTGTTATGCCTCTTGCTTGCTCGTTCTGCCCCATCCTTGCTCGAGCAGGCCCTTGCTAAGGCACTTTTTGGCTCGTGCTTGCGCGTTCTGCCCTTGTTTGCTAGTTCTGGCCCCTAAACCCCTTGGTTGTTTGATCTGCCACCTGCTCGTCTCGTCCCATGTGAGTTGTGGGGTTGCCACCTTCCCTGCCTCCCTCCCTCCCTCCCGTGTTCCCTCCATCCTCTCCCTCCCTACCGATCCCACTGGCATACGCCAAGCATGCAATGGAGTTACAGCTTCGCCACACCACGGCACGGGCGGTCACCTACTTCCCAAAGAACAGCGTTAGGAACGAGGCCCTTCTACTTGCTCTGCGGAGGCACTATGACGTGGTGGCAATCGACATAAAGGTGGCGATGGATGACACTGCATACAGTGGGGTGGTGGGGAACGTGTGGACGAACTTCAGGAATGAATCGTCGACGGACGCGCGTCATTACATCTACCGAGCGCTGCGGATCGATGCACGGTCGTCTGGGAAGTACAAGATGGCTCTAACTCCCAAAGCGAAGAAGTACATTTGGGGGAAGATTGGGCAGAGTAAGACGCATGATGTATCATGGGATGCGGGAATGGGAAGGGCTGGGGGCACCCCAATTGGGGGGAGGCGGGGGAGTGTTTCAGGTTTTGAAGACTTGTGAGGGTCTCAGCATTATAGGTAGGTGTGTAGTGGGGTGATTTGCTTACAGTAAAACCTAGTACAGTGGAGCTAAGTAATGCTGACGTGACGGCTGGTGAGGGGGGCTCTATATTCAAACCTAAACGCCACATACCCGCCTTCTGTTTTTTGTTTGCAGAGCCACACATGGGATTTAAAATTTCGGTATGGACTCACATAAAGGGCGACCGTCGGCCCTTCATCAACGAGATTTTCTACAAGGCCTGCGTGGCGGCTTACCCTGAGTGGGAGCGAGGGAAGTGCATGGTGCTCGTCCCATACCACATCGCGTGGGTGATGATGTCCGTAAGTGTCGTCACTTGCAAATATCCTTTATGTTGAAGGGCTTACAGTAGGCATTGTTTGTGTTGTGGTTGCTCTGTTTTTCCAGGTGGACTTTGGCCTCCAGAACATGCGGGAAAACACGGTGCACCTGAGTGGCAGCCCATTGGAGACGGAGAGGTGCATGGAAACGGCCACTGAGCTGGTGTGGGAGGTGGTGCAGATGTGGTTGCGGCTGGCTAGGGGGCAGTGGTACGACCCCCGGGTTAGGGCGTACCGTTGGGGGGATAAGGGGTTGTACATTAACGAGAGCGGGCTTGAAGAGTTTAGGCCGGAGTGCTTTGCTGGAACCCGTGCTGCCGATAGCGGGGATGCAAGCCCGTGGATTATTCGCCGCTAGTTTAGGGTGAAACGGACCTTTTTAATATCGTTTGTCATAGCAACGTTTAGTAACGCTTAGCGTCCTGATTGTGATAGTTTTTTTATTGTATCGATATGTGTTACCCATCAAACAGTAGGTGTAGTTAATGTACCGTATGTTAATTATAAACCCGTTTTTTGGTCGCGGCGCATGCCCAGTACTCGTGGCCCCGAGCCGCTCTCTTTCGAACCCCACACGTGTGTATAAGCTCGGTGATTGGTTCCACATGTCTTTTGCATCCCTCCCCAAAGGGTCCCGAAAATGTCCAAAATGGTCCTCTGGAACACTTTCGGGATGGCGGGGAGGAGTCTTGCGGAACAAATACAGGAGCCTCCCAACAGTACCGGAGTTGTTCCCGAAAGAGACTTTCGGGATGGGTGCAAAAACTATCCCGAAACTCTCTTTCGGGACAGTTTTGGGACATTTGTGCGAGCCAGGATTTTGGAGATGACATTTTCAGCACAAACATTTGGGTGGGGCTTTTGTTTTTACGTAGACCGTCAAACCCCCGGGCAGACCCCGCGGCTGGAAACAGTCCGCTTCAAAGGGCCGTTGAGGTGGAGCTTTTCGACCACCTCGGCCGTCTTCGGGTTGGCCAAAATGATTACACTGCCGGCGCTGTCCTACCACTTGCATTTTGTCGCGACGCTGAACCATTTGGGCGACAGAGCCAAACCAAATGGTTGCATCGTGGGGGCCCAAAGTGCTATTGAACAAGGCCTCAATGTCCACTCTTAGCACTCTTGGCGCAAGCGACACGACGAGTTTGCCCCCCATTGGCGGAGAACCCCTTCTAACCACTGTTGCCCTGTTTGATAGCTCCTGGGGCTGTGAGAATTGAGGAATGAATGGAAGAAGGGGTTTCACTAGCAAGCAGTTGAGTACATATAACAAACCCTAAATTGGGCTGTACTCACTATTGAGTACCCCACTACAGGCTAGACAAACATAATATTCTGACACACCCCCATAGCCAAAGTGGGGTGTAATCAGCACAACAAGCAAGCAAAAAACACAAGCTCAGGGTGGATCACAATGTCACCACACAATCTGAGCACAATTACAAGAAGCAACAGTTTAAAGTTCATAAACGTAAGCAAAGCTAGAGGCTATCACCGAGGGCAAGTGTGGAGGAGGAGGGACTATGAGAGGAGATGAGGTAGTGGGCGGCAGCTGTAGCTGCTGGCACACGGCGCAACTGGAGCAACTGGCACACGGGCAACTGGAGCAACTGGCACACTGGCAACTGGAGCAACTGGCACACGGGCTACTGGAGTAACTGGCTCCGCGGCTAACTCTGAGCGGCAGGAGCAACGGACTCACGGGCGACTGGAGCAACTGGCTCATGGGCGACTGGCGCGACGGGCTCACGGGCGACTGGCGCAACGGTCTCACGGGCGACTGGAGCTGCGGGCTTCACGGCGGCCACCCCCTTTCAACCTCCCCAAACTATCCCAACCCCCTTTCACACACCCCCTGCTGCACCCTAGGTTCACTCACACCCCACCCCCTAGCACCACTCCGTCGACTCCCACACACCCACCCCCCTCAGCGGTAGCTGCAGCAGTGGGAGACAAAGGAGGAGGAGGAGCAAGGGAGACCACACACCCGCCACCCCCTGCTCGCCACCCCCAAACCCTAACACAGGGCAGGGTCGGGCGACGGGTAGGGAGGTTATGGGAGGGGGGGGGGGGGGGGGGGGGGCGACGCGCGGCCTCCGAGGGCGCCAAAACAGGCGGCAAAAGGGGCGACGCTCGCCTCCCCCCCCCAAGGTCGGCCCCCTCAGGTCGCCTCGACAGGCGACGGGAAAAGAGGGGGGGGCGGTGCACGGGTCCCCGGTGCGCCGCGACAGGCGACGGAGCATGGCCGGGGCGGGGCCGGGGCAGGGTCGGGGCAGGGCCGCGACAGGGCCGCGGCGGGCGATGGGGCAGGGCCGCGACGGGGGGCCGCGACGAGGCCGCAAAGGGGGGCTGCAAGGGGCCTCGAAAGGGCGGCGACGGGGCCGCTAGGGGCGGCGACGGGGCCGCAAAGGGGCCGCGAGGGGCCTCGAGGGGCGGCGACAGGGCCACTAGGGGCGGCGACGGGGCCGCGAAGGGGCCGCGAGGGGCCTAGAAGGGCGGCGACGGGGGGCCGCGACAAAAGGGCCGCGACGGGGGGCCGCCAGGGTGACGGGGCAGGGCCGGGCGACGGGGCATGGCCGCGCGACAGGGCAGGGCCGGGCGACAGGGCAGGGCCGGGGCGAGGCCGTGACGGGGCCGCGAAGGGGCCACGAAGGGGCCACGAAGGGGCCACGAAGGGCCGCGACGGGCAGCAGGGCAGAGCGCGAAATGCGCTAAGGGCAGGGCAGAAACAGTTTAGCGAAGTGGTGGGCCCTAGGAAGGAACAGTCCCAGGAGGGAACCAGCTCTATACCATGTTAGAATTGAGGAATGAATGGAAGAAGGGGTTTGACTAGCAAGCAGTTGAGTACATATAGCAAACCCTAAATTGGGCTGTACTCACTATTGAGTACCCCACTACAGGCTAGACAAACATAACATTCTGACAGGGGCTACCAGGATGCAACCATTTGGAATGGCTCTGTCGCCCAAATGGTTAAGGGTCGCGACAATCTGCAAGTGGGGCCTTAGGGCCGGCAGTGTAATCATTTGGTCGCCCCAATGGCCATTTTTTTCACCGAACTCAACCGCGCAGGCGGTCGAAAATCTCCACCCCAACGGCCCATTGTGTGAAGAAGTGAACGTGAATGGATGAACTATGAAATGAGTGGGTACAAGTACTAACCCTAATTGGGTTGTACCCCCTATGGTATACCCCACTATAGCCTACACAAAAGCATAAGCTATAATGTTCTGACACACCCCCATAGGCAAAGTGGGGGAGAACAAGGGGTCACAAGACCAGTCAAGCAAAGCAAAGCAAAGCAAGCTCAGGGTGGATCACAACGTCACCACACAGTCTAAGCACAAGGTCAAGGCCACAAGGCCAGTTCAAATGCAGGATGAGACATATATATATATATAATTCTAAACAAGCAAGAGCAGGTATATATATATGCAAGAGTACAAGTAAGATCAAGAGGTGAGCAAGTGAGGCAAGACTGGGACAAGTCCCAGCTGAGTGCAGAAACGCTGGTGATCACAAGGCGGAAGTGCCTTGGTGAAAACATCAGCAGTGTTGGCCTCAGAGGCCACGTACGCAAGTCGCAACTGACCACGCTGCTGCAGCTCACGAGCAAAAAAGTAGCGGAGAGCAATGTGCTTCGTTCTGTGCTCCAGGCGCTGCTCTCGACACAAGGCCAGCATGGCCTTGTTGTCTACGTACAGTATTGGAGGAGAACCAGGCGGCTCTCCAAGGTCAGTCAGCAGGTAGGTGAGCCAGCGAAGCTCCTGAGCAGCCATGGCCCCGGCGTAGATCCCAGCCTCACAACTGGAGCCGAGAACAGAAGACGAGCGAGTAACCCGCCACGAAACAGAGCCGGAACCAAGACTGAAGGTGTAACCCTGCGACGACCGCTGAGTAGCCTACTCGCCAGCCCAAGAAGCGTCCGCGTGCCCAGTGAGGACCACTGGACTCCGCCCTCCAAGCACTAGCCCCATGCCCGACGTACTGCACAAGTAGCCCAACACCCTCTTCGCTGCAGCCATGTGCTCTGGTCGGTGTCTCCCAGGAGCAACATAGCGTGCGAGAATGCTAAGAGGGTATGCAAGGTCAGGTCGTGTGCAGGTCATCAGGTACATGAGGCAGCCAACAAGCTCTGGGTACGGGCCACTCGACTCTACGGACTCATCCGAAGGCAGAGCTGAGAGCAAGTGGCGAGTAGACAGAGGAGTGGCCTGAGGCGAGGAGTACGTGAAGCCGAAGCGCTGAAGGACCTGCTGCACCATGTGTGACTGAGTCAAGGTAATGGTGCGGCGTGCTCTGTCCCGAGTGATCTGCAAGCCAAGGTAGCTGCGCAGTTCACCCAGGTCTGTGCACGTGTGTCTCTTCTACAGCTCGGACTTCACGTAGGCAAGTCCAGCAGTGTCCGCTGTGGCAAAGACCAAGTCGTCGACGTACACGAGGATGTAGAAGGGCGGCAGAGAAGTGTCGGTGCGCAGAAACAACGACGGGTCAGCAGTAGAGGGAGCAAACCCAAGAGCCGCAAGCGTAGTCCTCAGTGTGTCATGCCACTCACGTGGTGCCTGGCGGAGACCGTAGAGTGGCCGTCGGATGCTCCACTGGGTGCCAGGAGGGAAAGTCCCAGTGAAGCCAGTTGGACGGCGCAGCCAGATCTCCTCGTGCAGGCTACCGTGCAAGAAAGCAGTGCTGAAGTCAAGAGAGTGGAGCTCGTAGTCGCGCTGAGCGGCTATGTGCAGCAGCACCCGAAGAGTGGTCATCTTCGGGGTGGGAGAGAAGGTCTGAAAGTAGTCAACTCCCTGCCGCTGACTGAAGCCACGAGCCACGTACCGCGCCTTGAAGATAGGTGGAGAGCCCGGCGGCCGCTTCACCCTGAAGATCCACATCCCACTGATGATGTTCGCCCCAGGAGGGGGAACCGCGTCAACGTAGGTGCCTGTGGACTTCCAGGAAGCCATCTCTGCATCCATAGCTGCCTGCCACTGAGAGGAGTAGGGACCCTCTACGGCCTCCGCGTAAGAGCGCGGAGTCGGGATGTCTAGTGCATCCGGGTCTCCGTCAGGGGCAAGCAGTACAGACGCAAGATGAGGTGAAGCAGCAGCAAGACACTGAAACTCCTCCTGCTTGTCCTCAAGGACGTCCGTGCCAAGAGCACACTCACCCCCGACGGACGGAGGACAGACAGACGCAGACTCAGCAACAAGACTAGCAGCGTAGTCTAGACGACAGCGAGCAGCAAAGTCGACGAGCTCAGCAATAAGAGCAGACGAAGCAGTGGACTCAAAGGAGGGGTCAGTGACGACAGTAGCAAGGAGACGCGTGACAATAGGACTGGCAGTACGAAGAGAGTCCGACTCAGGGTCGGCAAGCGCAGGAAGAGAGGACTCAGGAGGAGAGGGCAAAGGGGCACGCAGAGGAGCAGTGGACGGACGCAGAGACATCCAGTGCGTGCCAGGGACAGGAGGAGGACGCTGACGCAAACTACGACCACTAGTGCGAGCAGCACGAACAGGCGACGCAGGACGAGACGCAGGCTCACGACGCTCAGCAAGACCTCCAGTAGGACCAGTGTAGGGAGAGGGAGAAGGCAGTGGGGAGGCCGGCGGTAACTGTGACTGCGACTGGACAGGCGGTGGACCCTCTAAGAGAGGAGGAAGACCAAGAACCTGCTGAAGGAGCGGAACGAAGTACGGCCGAGGCCGCGCGGTGGCACCAGGCACAGCACGGACAGCACCAGCACCCTCAGCACCTCCGGCAGCACCAGCGCCAACAGCACCTCCAGCGGCAGGACCTCCAGCAGCGCCAGCAGCACCCGCAGCACGACCACCACCAGGACGTACAGTAGTAGTCTCAGAACCAACACCCTCAGCAGCTCCAGCTCCAAGTGGACCCGCAGGCCCAGCAGCTCCGGGACTGGCGGCACCAGCACCCTCAGCGGCCGAAGAAGCGCCAGCTCCAGCAGTACGCCTCCAGCGGCGAGCAAACCACTCGCGCAGCTCCTGTGGAGAGAGTGGATCCCGCCGAGACGAAACACCCGGAGAACCTCCAGGCCCAGTACCGCCAGACGCCACAAGGGGAGGTCCAGTGGCCGCAGGCTCCACACCTCCAGGCTCAGCAGCTCCAGGCTCAGCACCCCCAGGCTCAGCACCCCCAGAGGCAGCACCCCCACGCTCAGCACCCCCAAGCTCAGCACCCTCAGACTCAGCACCCTCAGACTCAGCACCCCCAGGCTCAGCACCCCCAGGCTCAGCACCCCCAGGCTCAGCACCCCCAGACTCAGCACCCCCAGAGTCAGCACCCCCAGGCTCAGCACCCCCAGGCTTAGCACCCCCAGCAGTACCTGAGTCACCAGCAACCTCGACCGGCTCGACTGCATCTACCTGGGACACACCTGAAGGGGCATGACCCTGAGGGGGAAGGGGGTCTACCCGGGGGGGACCTGGCACAAGGAAGTGCGGTGGCGGCGGGAGGGAAGGATTGCGATAGGGGAAGAGGCGGTAGAAGGGGACGGACTCGTCGAACGTGACGTCCTGGGAGGACAGAACACGACGAGAGGAGGGGTGGTAGAACTGCCACCCTGGGGTGTCAGGGGGGAAGCCTAGGAAGACACAGGGAGCAGCACGAGGGGACAGCTTGTCCGCAGACAGGTCGCGGACAAACGCCCGAGATCCCCAGACACGGAACGCAGACGCATCGCCTACCTTCCTCGTCCACAGCAGAGCTGGGGAGGTCTCCGGCCGGGAGACTCTGGGGTGAAGGTTGAGCTGATGCGCCGCGTACCAAACCGCAAACGGCCACAGAAAATGGGGGGCAGCCGCATGCATCATGGACGTACGAGCGACGTCCATGACCATGCCAATGCGGCGCTCAGCAATCCCATTTTGCTGTGTAGAGTCCGGAAGCGTGAAGGTCTGGCGGATGCCTCGTGCAAGACAGTAGGCTCGCAGAAGGCCAGAGGAGAACTCTCCGCCTCGGTCAGAGTGCAGACGCAGAACAGGAAAGTCCGAGCCGAAGCTCCTCCTGAGCTGTAGACGAGCCGCGCGGATCCAGTCGATCAACACCTCAGTGACATCACCCTTGCTGCGCAAGGGGAAGACTGTGGTGTAACGCGAGTAGTCGTCAACCACCAGCAGGAAGTAGCGCTCGTGACCCTGTCCACCGACGCGGGCTGGGCCCCACACGTCCATGTGAAGCGTCTGCAGAGGAGCCTCTGTCGGGGGAAACTGAGAGGAGTGAGGGGCAGCGCAGGGCCGCCCCTCGACACAGGGGACACAGGAAGGTCCTGGCCCCGAAGGAAGGGGAGGGAGAGACCGGGGGAGACCAGAGACAAGGACACGGGAAGCCATGCCCCGAAGACGAGGCAAGGAGGGGTGGCCAAGACGGTGGTGCCACAAGAGAGTCTCGTGAGACAGGAGGCAACACGAGCAGGGGGCAGACTCAGGACGCAGCAGCAAACACCTGACCCGACGCGGCTACCTGACCAGACGCAGGGACTGGAGGAGACTCAACGGTCAGGGTGTAGAGACTCGACCCGGGCCGACGCGAAAACGTGGCTAGGTGTCGGCTTGTGCGGGCGTCCGAGCAGTGGGTCCCCTGCTGACTCGCAGGAGTAAACTGGTGAACCCCCGCATCCTGCAGGTCAGCACCACTCACCAAGTTCGTCGAGAACGAGGGGAGGTACAGACCCGACAGGGTGCCCGAGGGGGCAGCCGGACACGGGACGACAGTGGAGAAGTGAGCGAGGACAGGACCCCCAGAGGGGTCAGCCAGGGAGACTGCAACCGGCCGACCAAGCGGCGTGAGTGTGGTGCGGTCTCGAAAGAAGGAGCGAGAAGCCCCTGAGTCAAGTGTGAAGGTGAGAGAGGCCGAAGCCGACGCAGTACCTGAGAGCGCAGCCTCACCAGTACCTGAGAGTGCAGACGCACTGGCACCTAGAGCAGTAGCCTCACAAGCACCTAGCGCAGCTGTACCAATGCCCGGGTCGGGCGGGAAACACCGGTAACAGTCACCCTCATCACTAATAGTCACAGCATACATGGCAGCAAGGATAGCATCAAAGTCAAGATCAAAGATCGCTACGCCAGCCCTAGACAGCTCTCCCCAGCGGGGAATCTCACTAGCCTCGGGGAACTGCTGACGCCAAGCGTCCGTCAGGCGGCCAAAGCAGCGCTGGGTGGAGTGGGCACCCCCACACTGCTCACCCGCGCGATCGCCGGAACGAAGAACGTAGGTGCACGGGCCAAGACCCCCACCACGCTGACGCTGCGTGTACCACTCACGGAGCTGCTGAGGCGGGGGGATGTCCCGAGAACGCTGCTGCTGCTGCTGCTGCTGGCGCTGACCACCACCAGAGCCGCTCCGCTGCGGGGCACTACCCCGACCGGCTCCACCTCCTCCGCCACCGCCGCCTTCACCTCCGCCACCACCGCCGCCTCCGCTACCACCGCCGCCGCCGCCACCGCCGCCGCCTCCGCTGCCGCCACCACCACCACCACCCCCACCACCACTCCCACCGCCACCCCCACTCCCTCCGCCACCGCCACCGCCACCTCCACCGCCCCCGCCAGCTCCACCCGCGCCCTTGCCCCCCTTGCCCTTGCTAGGGCGGCGTCTCCCGCTAGGGGCAGACGCCGCGCCGACCGACTCAAGACCAAGCAGGTCGGCAGCAGCAGCAGAGGCAACAGAGGGCAGCAGGGGGGAAGGAGAACACCCCTCAAAGATGGGGGTGCGCGGGTCACCACGAGAGGCTCCTACAGCGACTATGCTCTTCTCCGCCGCTAGGAGGGCCTTCTCGAGGAGGTCGACAGTGAGGGTGGTGGGACAGACTGAGAGGAAGTGGTCCCTGACTACGCGAAGGGAGTCAGGGAGGCGAGTGACTATGTAATAGAGAGCGATGTACATGGGGGGGGGGGTTCTTGGTGCAGAACTCAGCAGGAAGTGCAGCGCGGTAGCGAGTGTCAAAAGTGCGGAGGTGCGTGTTGAGGTCAGCGACTGTAGGAAAGGCAGCAAGGTCAGGAAAGAGGTACGGTAGCATGAGGCGGCTCAGTGCAGCGGTGGCAGGGGAAGAGTAGCGCGCAACTACGGCGTCGTACAAGGTCTGAGCACTCCTGTACTGACTAAAGTGCGCGCGCTCAGTGGTAGGCAGGTGGCGACGCACAGCAAGACGTGCAGCAGCATCGCGGGTGGCCCACTGAGAGCGAACAGTGGGGTCAGCATCAGCAGCAGGAGCAGGGGAGGCGCCAGAGGTGAGGTCAAAGAGAGAAAGACCGTTCGCCCTATCGCACTGTAAAAACAACTGCAGGTCGTCGACCCAGACCTCAAAGTCAATGGCTCGACCCTCAGCGTCAAAAGCGAGGACACTAGGGGTAGTCATGACGACAGACTAGCAGTGCAAGTAGTGGGGGAAGGGCACGCAGTAGCAGCGGGGCTGTGCTCACCAGACAGGGCAGGTCGGGCGGCTCGGCAGTAGTGCAGCTCGGCTGCGGGGCGGCTCGGCGGTACTGCTGCTCGGCGGCGGCTGCTGGGCGGCTCGGCTGTACTGTGGGTCGGCGGCCCGGCGGCTCGGCGGCTGCTGCTGGGCGCCTCGGTTGAACTGCGGCTCGGCGGCTGCTGCTGGGCGGCTCGGCTGCTCCGGGACCGGGCAGCGTGGCGGGCGGCTGCTCGGGCGGCTCGGCAGGAGGGGAGACCGGCGGGGCCGCGAAGGTGAGGCGGCGGGGCCGCTACGTGAGGGCGGCGGGGCCGCGAAGGTGAGGCGGCGGGGCCGCTACGTGAGGGCGGCGGGGCGGCGAAGGTGAGGCGGTGCGGCCGCTACGTGAGGGCAGCGGGGCCGCGACGTGAGGGCGGCGGGGCCGCGACGTAAAGGCGGCGGGGCCGCGACGTAAGGGCGGCGGGGCCGCGTAGGTAAGGGCGGCGGGGCCGCGTAGGTAAGGGCGGCGGGGCCGTGTAGGTAAGGGCGGCGGAGCCGCGAAGGTGAGGGCGGCGAGGCCGCGAAGGTGAGGCGACGGGGCCGCGACGTGAGGGCGGCGGGGCCGCGACGTAAGGGCGGCGAGGCCGCGACGTGAGGGCGGCGGGGCCGCGACGTGAGGGCGGCGGGGCCGCGACGTGAGGGCTGCGGGGCCGCGACGTAAGGGCGGCGGGGCCGCAACGTGAGGGCGGCGGGGCCGCGACGTGAGGGCGGCGGGGCCGCGTCGTGAGGGCGGCGGGGCCGCGACGTAAGGGCGGCGGGGCCGCGTAGGTAAGGGCGGCGTAACGGGCCGCTAGGGGCGACACGGAGGGTCGCGAAAAAAAAAGGAACGCGCGCCTCGGGGCGCGCTTCGGTGGGCCCTGGGAACAGTCCCTAGGAGGGGACCTACTCTGATACCATGTCAGAATCCCAACCACTAGACCATTGGGATAAAAGGGCTTGTTTCAGTAGCGGGTCAATGCCCCCATAACCCCCCAGGCAAACGCGCCTGTAACCCCCCCTAGGATCGATCGGGGATCTCACAGTGTAGCTCTACTGACACCCCCCCACACAGGGAGGCCCAAGCGGTGAGTACCACAACCGTGACGAGGGTTCCCCCAAAGTTTACTGGTGAAGGCAAAAAAAACAGAAACAAAAGACCGCTGGATTAAAAAAAAAAAGCCCAAAAAAACCAACCATGTTGAACATCTCTCTACACAAAGGAAAGGCTCAGATTCGGCCGGGCATGCTCTGTTTTTCTTTACCCTACTTTTGGGCAATTAGAGATAGGAAAACCGCTAGATTAGACTATTCCTAAATAGCCCATTGGTCTGGCAGTGAGGCGACTTAGTTGAAAAGCAGCATTGGCAATGACCCGGCAATGATCTGGTGTTTTACCAGGGAGGGGCTGTAATCATTAGGCGGCAGGTACTGTTTTTGCGCGCTGTGGTGTCAAAAAACCTCGTTAAGATTCCCGCCAACTTTTAGCGGTTGGGCGGGAAACCGTGAAGCTCGCAAGGGGGTCGTTCGCACAAGCGGGTGTGAAAATGAACGAGAATGAATTGACTAAGGGAAAGTTGGGTACAAGTACAAACCCTACAAACTCGTACCCCATATGTGCTACCCCACTATAGCCTACAACAGCTATGTCATATAAATCTGACACACCCCCATAGGCAAAGTGGGGGAGAACAAGGGGTCACAAGACCAGTCAAGCAAAGCAAAGCAAGCTCAGGGTGGATCACAAAGTCACCACACATTCCGAGCACAAGTTCAAGGCCACAAGGCCAGTTCACATGCGGGATTACATATATATATAAGGCTAGACAAGCAAGAGCAGGTGTATATATATATATGCAACACTACAAATAAGGTCAAGGGGTGAGCAAGTGAGGCAAGGTAGGCACAAGACCCAGCTGAGTACAGAAGCGCTGATGATCACAAGGCGCAAGTGCCTTGGTAAAGATATCAGCAGTGTTGGCCTCAGAGGCCACGTACGCAAGGCGCAGCTGACCACGCTGCTGTAGCTCACGAGCAAGGAAGTAGCGGAGAGCAATGTGCTTCGTTCTGTGCTCCAGTCTCTGCTCTCGACACAAGGCCAGCATGGCCTTGTTGTCTACGTACATCACTGGAGGAGAACGAGGCGGCTCTCCGAGGTCAGTCAGCAGGTAGGTGAGCCAGCAAAGCTCCTGTGCAGCCATGGCTCCTGCGTAGATCTCAGCCTCACAACTTGAGCCGAGAACAGAAGACGAGCGGGTAGCCCGCCACGAAACAGAGCCGGAACCAAGGCTGAAGGTGTAACCCTGTGACGACCGCTGCGTAGCCTGGTCGTCAGCTCAAGAAGCGTCTACGTGCCCAGTGAGGACCACTGGACTCTGCCCTCCAAGCACAAGCCCCATGCCCGACGTACTGCACAAGTAGCGCAACACCCTCTTCACTGCAGCCATGTGCTCTGGTCTGTGTCTCCCAGGAGCAACATAGCGTGCCAAGATGCTAAGAGGGTATGCAAGGTCAGGTCGTGTGCAGGTCATCAGGTACATGAGGCAGCCAACAAGCTCTGGGTACGGGCCACTCGGCTCTACGGACTCATCCGAAGCCAGAGCTGAGAGCGAGTGGCGAGTAGGCAGAGGAGTGGCCTGAGGCGAGGAGTACGTGAAGCCGAAGCGCTGAAGGACCTGCTGCACCATGTGTGACTGAGTCAGGGTAATGGTGCGGCGTGCTCTGTCCCGGGTGATCTGCAGGCCAAGGTAGCTGCGCAGTTCACCCAGGTCTGTGCACGTGTGTCTCTTCTGCAGCTCGGACTTCACGTGGGCGAGTCCAGCGGTGTCAGCTGTGGCAAAGACCAAGTCGTCGACGTACACGAGGATGTAGAACGGCGGCAAAGAAGTGTCGGTGCGCAGAAACAGCGACGGGTCGGCAGTAGAGGGAGCAAACCCAAGAGTCGCAAGTGTAGTCCTCAGTGTGTCGTGCCACTCACGCGGTGCCTGGCGGAGACCGTAGACTGGCTGCCGGAGGCTCCATTAGGTGCCAGGAGGAAAAGACCCAGTGAAGCTAGGTGGGCGACGCAGCCAGATCTCCTCGTGCAGGCTGCACTGCAAGAAAGCAGTGCTGAAGTCAAGAGAGTGCAGCTCGTAGTCATGGTGAGCAGCTATGTGCAGCAGTAACCGAAGAGTGGTCATCTTCGGGGTGGGAGAGAAGGTCTGAAAGTAGTCAACTCCCTGCCGATGACTGAAGCCACAAGCCACGTAACGCGCCTTGAAGACAGGCGGAGAACTCGGCGGCCGCTTCACCCTGAAAATCCACATGCCACTGACGATGTTCGCCCCAGGCGGGGGAACCTCGTCAACGTAGGTGCCTGTGGACTTCCAGGAAGCCATCTCTGCGTCCATAGCTGCCTGCCACTGAGAGGAGTAGGGACCCTCTATCGCCTCCGCGTAAGAGCGCGGAGTCGGGATGTCAAGTGCATCCGGGTCTCCCTCAGGCGTAAGCAGTACGGACACGAGATGAGGTGAAGCAGCAGCAAAACACTGACGGACGGAGGACAGACAGACTCAGACTCAGCGACAAGTTTAGCAGCGCAGTCTAGACGACAGCGAGCAGCAAAGTTGACGAGCTCAGCAACTAGGGCACACGCAGCAGTGGACTCAAAGGAAGGGTCAATGACGGCAGTAGCAAGGAGACGCGTGAGAGTAGGATTGACAGCACGAAGAGAGTCCGACTCCGGGTCGGCAAGAGCACGTTGCGAGGACTCAGGAGGAGAAGGCAAAGGGGCACGTAGAGGAGCAGTGGACGGACGCAGAGACATCCGGTGCGTGCCAGGGACAGTAGGAGGACGCTGACGTGAACCACGACCACTAGTGCGAGTAGGACGGACAGGCGACGCAGGGCGAGACGCAGGCTGACGACGCTCAGCAAGACCTCCAGTAGGACCAGTGTAGGGAGAAGGAGCAGGCAGTGGGGAGGCCGGCTGTAACTGTAACTGTGACGGGACAGGCTGTGGACACTCTAAGGGAGGAGGAGGACCAGTAGAAGGCGGAAGACCAAGAACCTGCTGAAGGAGCGGAACGAAGTACGGCCGAGGCCGCGCGGCGACTCCAGACACAGCAGGGACAACACCAGTACCCCCAGTGGTAGCACCACCGCCAACAGCACCTCCAGCTCCAGCACCCCCAGCAACTCCAGAAGCTCCAGGACCTCCAGCAGCACCAGTAGCACCCCCAGCAGGACCACCTCCAGGACCAACAGCAGTAGCCTCAGCGCCAACACCCTCAGCAGCTCCAGCTCCAGTCATACCCGCAGGCCCAACAGCTCCAGGACTCCCAGTACGAGCACATCCAGGACCCGCGACACCAGCACCCTCAGTAGCCGAAGAACCTCCAGCTCCAGCAGCACGACTCCAGCGCCGGGCAAACCACTCGCGCAGCTCCTGTGGAGAAAGTGGCTCCCGCCAAGACAAAGCACCCGGAGAACCTCCAGGCTTAGTACCGCCAGACGCGACACGAGCAGGCCCAGCTCCCCCAGGCTCCGCACCCCCAGGCTCAGCACCTCGAGGCGTAGCACCCCCAGGCTCAGCACCCCCAGTCGTAGCACCCCCAGGCTCAGCACCCCCAGGCGTAGCACCCCCAGGCTTAGCACCCCCAGGCTCAGCACCCCCAGTAGTAGCACCCTCAGGCTCAGCACCCCCAGGCGTAGCACCCACACGCTCAGCACCCCCAGAGTCAGCACCCCCAGGCTCAGCACCCTCAGCAGTACCAGAGTCACCAGCAACCTCGACAGGCTCGACTGCGTCTACCTGGGACACACCTTAAGGGGCAGGACCATGAGGGAGGAGGGGGTCTACCGGGGGGGGACCTGGCACAAGGAAGAGCGGTGGCGGGGGGAGGGACGGAGTGCGGTAGAGGAAGAGGCGGTAGTAGGGGACCGACTCGTCA